TCCCCCTTTCCTACAAGAACCATTTCCAGTGTTGCTGGCTCTTCCCGTAATCATTCAATGGCACATTCATTCAGGTGGCCTATGAACGCTCACTGCCATCATGTCACTAGAGATGCTCCCAGTTCTTTGTGGGAAGAGGCAGCACCCACAGGACTCTAACCACTTCCACCCTACCCTAAAGCGACTTGCTTTCCAGACAGCTCCTTCCTCAAGGTGAGCAATGAGTGTGGTCTTTGCGAAGTTGTTTGTGATACCAGAGAAAACGCCAGAGGAGAAACAGGCCCCTTCCTAATCGTCACATTTAAGACATATGCTTCCTGGCCTGCCTCCACAGCTCCAGTCTGTGCCCCAGGGCCCGACAGATGTCAGCAGCTTAGCAAATGCATGAGAAGAAGATCCCCAGATGAATTCTGAGGCACATGCTGGAATCAAAAACCTGGGAGGAGGAAGAAAGCTTGGCAGGTTTAAGGGAATGCTTTTTGCTTTTGGGAGCAACTGAGTCCCCAAAAGAAGAGAAGCTGGAAGAAACCTGCGAGCAGAGGCAGAGAAGCTTCAGAATGGGGCCAAGGGATGGTGGGGGTGCTGGGAAGTGGGAAGGCAAGGCAGAAGCCTTCCTTGGCTGGTCATTGTCACATTCCCTGTGCTTAGAAAGTGCCTGAGACCTAGTGGATATTCAATGAGTATGTGGTGAATGAATTGAATGAATTTCATTCCATGTGTCTTCTGAGAATTTTGTGCCATAAAAGCCTAACAGGAAAAAATAAACGGGATAAAAAAATGTGTGGTAAAGTGACCCCTCCATTCCCCACGTTAGCAGAGCACATTCTCCGAGGCAAAGGTTCTCAGACTCAGCCCATCCTCACAACCAGGAGGGCCTGTTGAAACACAGACTGCTGCCCTCCACACACACACACATTTCTGTTCAGTGGGCCTGGGGCAGGGCCTGAGAATTTGCATTTCTAGCAGGTTCCTAGGTGCTTTAGCTCAGGCTGCTATAAAAATTGCCATCAACTTGGTGGTTTAAACAACAGACATTTATTTTGTCACAGTTCTGGAAGGTGGAAGTCCAGGATCAAGGTGCCCGTACATCCGGCTGCCAGTGGAGGCCCACTTACTGGTGTGCAGGCGGCTGCCCCCTCCCCATCCCCTCACATGGCAGAGAGAGAGAGGCTCTGGTCTCCCTCTTCTTACAGTCATCCCACCGTGGGGCCCACCCTCAGACCTCAGCTAAACCTCCCAAAGATCTCACCTCCAAATACCATCAAATTTGGGCGTAGGACTTGAACATCTGAATTTGGGGGGATACAAACATTCAGTCTGTACCACATGGTGACACTAGCTGCTGATCCAGGGACCACACTTTGAGAACCACTGCTCTGAGGAGTCTTGCTAGAAGAAAACTGTTACATGAAGTTTTCCCAAAACATTTTTGACCCTGGATGCCATTGTTCTTGGTACATCTTGCAGAGCCGTGCTTTACAAAACCCACATGGGAAAGAAGCCTGCAAGGGTCTGAGGAGACCACTTTCCTGAGCAATAGCACATGAGGCCTCACCTCCCCGGGCTGGTCCCGGTCCTCTTCCTGCAGGGGACAGAAGGATGTGCAATCCCTACAAGGTTGAGGGCAGCTCTCTGTTCTAAACTGTGACTCCCACATCAATCTGCCTGCCTGATCTCCATGGGGAATTTGCGGACTAGCCCCAGGCTGGGTATAGAAGCTTTTAGATGAGACACTAACAGAAGTGCCCTTTTTAACACATGAAAATGAGGCCAGCAGTAAAACCTGGAAGTTAAGGCATCTTCCCAGGGTGTTTTCCAAGGGTGTGCTAAGTCTGATTGACAGCATTTAAAGGCTGTGGTGGGAAACAATAAACCCGCTGATCCAATAAGCTGATTACACAGGCAAAAATCATAGCATGGTGCCAGGCTACCAGGCATATCATCAGTACATAATAAAGGTGTATTTTCTCTCTCCACAGATTAATTTAATCCTGTGTACTAGCAATTCTTGATTTACACACTTCAAGCACAAATTTCGAGGGGCATTTTCCAGGATTGCTCTGGGGATGTGACCAAATGTTACTCAACCAAACTGCAAACGGAGGTGGTCTCTGACACAGGCCACCTTTCATGTTTCCTGTTTCCCCGTGTTCCACCGCCCTGAGTCAGCAATTGCTTTTTGACAGAAGGCCCAGCGGGTGCTTTCTGAGCTGTCACAATCACCTTCCGCTGAAAACACACTGTACTTCTCCCTGCCAGTTCGGAAGTGCAGGCACCCTCCTGGGAAGATCTTAAAGAGATTTGCAAATAAGAGTGACATCTTCACATTGGCATGAGCTTGAACTTGGCACTAACCAAAACCCACCTTTCTAATGCTCCAAAACAGTGGCCTAAGGCCAAACAGCCTTGCAACTCCACAATGAGAACCGATTTGTATATTTTCAGTCCTCCCATTCAATAGCCCTCCATTTCAGGAAAAGAAGTTCAGTTTTGACCCACCCTTCAAATATGTCCTGTGGGGCAGAGGCTTATTTAGCTCTATGTGGCCATTGGCACCTGAATTTAACACATGATAAGTCTGTTGAAGTAAACTATGACTTTCTAGAATGCAGGCACTAAAGTAAAGTAACACACTCCCTAGCATGGCGTACAAGATCCTTGGGAGCCCAGCCCCACTGCTCTGCACCAGGCCCGCGCTGACCACACACATGGGTCAGGAAGCTTGTTGGAATGTATATTCACATCCACAGAACCCATAGTTCTTTGTTGCTCTATCAAAAACTTCATTTTATTCTAATCTCAGCTATCAATTCACTAATTCTGCTGTCAGCTTTCTTGATTTATTTTTATTTCAACAACTTTGTCTTTTATTGCTAGACTCTTTAGTTGGTTCTTTTTCAAACCTGCCTTCCCCTATTCCCTTTCCAGTTTCTCCATTTTCTGCATTTCCTGGAATGTACGTTTTGATCATTTGTTTTGTCTGCTCACACATGCAAAGGATTGTTTCCTCTTTGTTTTAACCCTGAGCTGGTGTCCAGCAGGAATTATCCTGCTCATGCCCTAGATGGTGGGCGCATCTCCATCAAGATTTGCTGTGGCCTTAAGACTTCACTTTAAGTTCTTTTCTGAGCTGTGGATTTCCACACCACCTGGGCTGTGTACCTCTGTTGCCAGTGCATGTGCACAGGGAGGGCTCGGGGGTCTAGTGTCTCAGAGGTGACTTACTCCAGAGTGGCTCTCTGGCTTCCTCCCTGCCTCCCTAGGGCCATGGCAGCCACTGTCCCAAGACCTGGGCTTCAGACCATCTCTTTGCAGCTGTGGGCTTTATGCAACCTCCCAGCTGGAGTTTCCTCGAGCAGAGGACCCAAATCTCTGTTCCCCCTTCCCTAGGGCTTTGGAACCACAGCTGGCAGGGTGGGCCACAGCCCTCAGCAACCACTCAGGTGCAGTTCTTAGCTGCAGCTTTGGTGTTTTTGTTTTTTAGACCCAAGGTGTTCTCTTTCTAGCTGTCTGACTTTGGTTTTATTTTTTAATTGTTGTTATATTTTATGCAGCATCTCCATGTATTTGGAAAAAGAAAGGGGTTCCCATATCTGCCCAGGTTGAAAATATGCAGTAAGCATTGTATGTGCTTTATTTTAGCTCAATTCACATAATACCGCAAAGATGTAGAAGCTATTATTATCCTCACTTTACAGATGAAAGAGCCAAGGATTTTAAAGTTCAGTTATTTCCCCTAAGTCCAGACAGTGATCCCCCCAGCAATTCCCAAAGCGGGTGTGACACCCACCATCACCCGCAGGTAGGCCTGCGTGGCCTCCCTCACGTCCCTCCTTACCGCCCTGGCCTTCCCACTCTGCCTGCCTCCAGCCCCAGGGCAGCTGGTCACTAGCAGGCTGCTTCCTCTGATGCAACTCACCCCAAAACCCTCTCACAATCCCCCTGCTACCAATGGTCCTCCCCCTCCTCGAGGGCTTCCTATCTGGCAACAGGCTGTCCCAGACACACTTTCTCAACCTCTCCCCTCTCTAGTACAGCTTGTAAGTTCTGAGTAGCAGCGATGGTGGAGAGGCGAGAACGGATGAGAGAAGCATCATCAGAACTTGGCAGTAAATCAGCTGGAGGGAGGGAAAGAGTGGGGAGTCTAAGGCAATGCCCACACTCAGATCAATGCGGGGGCCTGTGCTAAGGCAGAGATCGTGGGAAGGAGCAGGGGAGGCTGGAGTGGGGGGAGTTGAGCTCAGTTCGGGCACAGTGAGCCGGAAGTGCCTACAGAACAACAGGTGGGGCCATCCTGGGCCAGTGGGACATGTGAGTCCATCACTCAGGAGGTACCTGTCTGCCTGAGATAATGACGCGGCGGTGCATGTGTGAAGCTGATCACTGGTTGTGGGTGAGATGAAAAGACCAAGAGCTGAGTGTGGAAGCCCACAGTGGGGCTGTGGGGGGATTACATCCCACTCCCCATATAAACTCCTTGAGATTAAAAACCATGTCATTACTTTCACTTTATTTTCTGAAGGTGTCTAAGACAACACTGGCCCTCCTACTATATAGGGTTGTAGTGAGCATAAGGAATATGAAAAGCTGTTTTAAAATTAAGAAGCATGTTCCAAGATCAATTGTGTTACAGCTACCATCTCTTCCTCCTGCCCCCAGCCCCCTGCACTCCTGCTGCCTATGGAATGGAGGCGGTCCGAGTCCTCGGGCCTCCATTCCAGATCCATCCTTGCAGCCTCATCTCTCACCCATCACGTTTCCCACACCCACCTGACCCCTCCAAGCTTGTGCCTTTTACTCCTTCCCCTCCCAGTGCTATCAGACACCCCTCTCCCCTCCGCTGTGTTAACCCAGTACCTTGTACAAATCCATGTGGACGAGGGTCACACTCTGTGACAAGCTTTTCTGTCAATTCTATGACTGGACTGGAAGCTCCATGAAAGCAGGAACTTTCTTTTATTCACCAAGCAGGATATGCATTTAGTAAAGGTCTGCAGGGGAGAAACAATGAGTGTATCTCCATATACCCCAAACCTAGTACCATCTCTGACAATAGAAAAGATATGAAGGAAGGAAGGAGTTAAGGGTTTCTGCTCCATTGGCCTAGAATTTTTCCTTGCCATCTATTCTTAGTGAAATCTTAACAGTCCTTCCATACCCATATTAAACACCACCCTCTCCCAGCCAGAAGTCGTCTCTACATTCCCTGGGGTCTCACAGTGCTTTGCACCTGGTCAGTAAGGTTCATCTCAATTCCCATTACAGGATACGTGCCCCCTACTGTTTATTGAAAATTCTGAAGTCAAAGCATGTGTCTGATAGGCATCACACCTCCTGCAGCCCTGAAGGTCCCTCCCTGGCATGTAGTAGTTGGTAGGTGAATGTATTTCATGTTGCATAGCTGCATTCAAAAACACCGCATTTCCTGGGAATTCAGAATCAACTCAGAACTTTCAATGTGACCCTTTAAAGACACTTGGACCGACCTGTCAGAGCTTGATCTTCTTCTCCTCCTCTTGGGAGGTGGCCCTGGCCCCAGGCTCACCCTGGAGTACCAGCTTTCTCCCAACTCAGACTTCCTTTGGCACTGTCCCTGCTACCTACCCTTCCTGGCTCACTGGCCTCTGATTCACTGGCCAGCCAACAGCAGACACACACACACACACACCACACACACACAAATGGTGTATGAATCACCCCTGAGGTTTCCAAGGAGCAAAGTGTCTTTGGTCAGCTGAGGCCTTGGGCATCATCACAGGGACAGGCCTGGTGCCAACTGCGGTCACCAGTGATTCACGAACAGTCAGGAATTAAAGTTCTTCTCTCCCCCCGGGAAAGGTCACTTTACCTAATTTCCTTCTTTAGTGGTTGAGCCATTGCATTGACACATTTATTTTTGCTGCCTCCTGGCCTGATCATTTTTCAATCACAGTGTGTCCCTGCTATTCTAGCAGAGGGTTAATGTGAGTCTCTTTCTGATCATATATCCACATTAGTGCAACCCTAACTAGGCATTTCCCTTAGCTGCCTTCGTAGATTACTTGTTGCGAGAAGTCTGCAGGCATAAACCTAGTCTGAGCCAAAAGCCTGTTTAGATGCCCAATTAGGAGCTAACTGGGGAAGCTCCCAACCATTTCTAACCCTGAGTCTTAGATAGGGCTCCTCCCCACCCCCAGGAGTCCCTCCCTTTTGACCTTGGCTAATACAAATCTTGCCATTTTTTGTGACCCATATCAAAATGAGATAAAATGTATCCCCTTTCCAATTGTCAGGATTTTATATTTTTGAATGCACAATGTGGGAAGGATATAAGGCATGAACATTCTCACACTCTGCAGTCAGGAGTATAAATAGACACAGATTTTTATAGAAAAAAAAATTGACGTTATATGTCAAAGGCCTTCAAAATACCTCCAACCTTTGATCCAGTAATTCTACTTCCAGGAGTCTTTCCCAAGGATATAATCAGAAATGTGGAAAAATATTACGCACAAAGAAATTCACTACAACATCATTTGTAATTGCTGGGGCATAATTAATACCTGATAATAAGGTACTATTAAGTATAGTTTAGTATATTAGTATATCCATATTAGTAATTAGTATATCCTTGTTACGCAGCAACCTTAAAGTAAAGTTGGTGAAGGCATTTTAATGCTGATGTTAAGTGATGAGCAAACTGTCAAGTTGCACATACAGCGTGATCCAAATAGACCTTTCCCAAAAGTTGATTCTCAGGATGTATTCATAGGAATGCCATAAATATGAAAGTCAGTATAAAATATAAAATGAAAATATATAAGTATAAAAATCCAGATTGTATATTTTTAAATATATATAAATATATAACAATGTAAATATAAAATATGAAGATTCCGTTTTCCAACAAGGCTAGAAAGTCATCACAGGCATATACTTTGAAGCTCCTGAGAGCCTCGGATATGCTGACGACATGGGAAATCCAAGAGAAGCGCGGCTCGGTGCACAGGGTCACTGTTTATGCAGGACATCAGGGAGCATACTTCAGAAAAGCTGGGTGCAAGGCCTGGAAGAAATTGTACTAAGAGGGGTCACTGCTGTTGTTGAGTGGTGGGATTATTTTGCTGCGTCTTTGGAATTTTTTTGTATTGTTCTTCCAAATTCTGTGTTGTGAATGAAAATGAGCCAGAGTCAGTAGGTGTGCAGTGCTGTGGAGTCGGCGGGCACACAGGCTCGGCATGGCAGGCATGCCTAAGAGGGGGGCCCCGGGAATGGTGTGATGGCGGTCAGGGCAGGGGAGCCCCCAGTGCTGCCTGGGTGACTCTCATGCTTTGCCTATGTTTCAAAGGGTTTGGGTTTGGTCAGGGTCACTGCACTGCCACCTGCTCCCTCATCCCCGTGGGCCTGGCCAGAGGTTTCCTGATGCCTCAGAAAACATCCCCAAGATGTGAACCATATTCCAGGTTCTGAAATATGCTGCTCAGCTATCCTTGATTGCAAACTTCAAGTTGAGGGTACACTGGGCCTCCTTGGACTGGATGTTTCCTCATTCAAGTACTCTCCTTAGCTCTCTATGCTCCCAGCACCCTGGACTCTGTCTCTAGGTCTTCCTTTGTGCCACCCCTGTGCCCCTGGGTTAGCCTCACCCCAGTCACAGGTCCAGCCCCAGAGCCCTGTGCCCAGCTCAGCATCTGGTCTGAGGCACCAAGCAGGAGGGGAGTATACACCCCTAGTGAGGTGTAACAGGCACATGCTGAGCTGTACGATCAGCAGAGTGTAACAGGATTTTGGAGACATCTGCCTGGACCCTTCCTGCTTACCTTCCAATGGCCCTTAAAATATTCATCAGGCATTATCAGGCTAATAGGCTTCAAAAGGAGCAATTTTCTGAGACATAAGACAGGACGGTATAAAAAGAACATTAAGGAAAGGAAATCCCTATTTGAAAATGAAAGGAAAAAGATCATTTAGCACCTCTGTTGGTGTTATCTATTCATGAGAAATGGCACATTGACTCCAGAGCGAGATGTAGGGAGGGCTTTGGTGCCCTCCCCTTGGGGTCACCTTCATGCAGAGCTCATCTGTCTGCGCTGCCACAGACAGCAGGGGTGGTGGAGGCAAAGGATGCAGATGAGAGACCCCTCAGAGGTGGGCTCCACAAGGTGCAGGGGGATTTGAGGGAGAGGGTGTGTGGAAGAGAGGGGATGGGAGGGAGGAGGCGCCCCTCTCCAGTGTGCCACTGCTAATGCTTCTTGTCTCCCTTCCCAAGATATGTCAGCCTTGGTTTCTATTTTGGATCATGCTGTAGGAGTTCAGTCCCCTGAGATCAGGAATTGTGACTCCATCCTAGCCCCAGCGTCTCTATCCACTCATCAAGCTTAGGTTTGGGTTCCAGCCCTAAGATCAGAAATCTTGGGTGTAAAAGTTGTAAAAGTTACATGAGTATAAGAGTACTCTGAACCAAGCCCTGGCCAGGAGGACCATTTGTGGTCCTTCTCTGCCTCCCCAGGTACGCCACGGTAGGACAACACTGAGCTCTCTTGGGAAGACTATCTCTCTCAGAATTTATCTTGATCCAGTTGAAGGTGGCACGTGATTACAACAGCTCCTTGGGCAAGCCTTAAAATAGACACAAGAAATTGGGGGGTTCCTACTCTCCTGCATCCTATCCTTCCTCTCCCACATTCGTTGCCTCCTCTCTTTCTCCTTTCTGACCCCTAATTCTTTCCTCTTCCATTTTCTTCTTTCTCTTTCTCCTCCTCCTCCCCTTCTCTATCTTCATCTTCATTTCTACTTTCAATCTTGCATCTTACTTTTTGTACCACCAATTTTCCCCAAGTTTAGAAAAATCATTCCAATTTAACTATTTTTCTCTACTAAAGAACTAAAAAAAATCCATACAAAGCAAATTTAAGCTGACACCCCCACCAAGAACCTGCCAGCCTGGACAGTTGGTAATTATGTGACCAAGATAATCTGCCCACAGCCAAATGCTCACCTGATGATTAGATTCTCAACCTCATGGTTTGCCCCATCATATTTGATATGAGCTTCTATAACCTCAGTGCATATTAGCCCTTATGCTCATTGAGTTCTTTGCAATAAAAATTGTTGACCCAAAAATATCTTTTCCCCCCTAATTAGAATAAAAGCCAAAGCCTGTTTGATGTTTCATTGCATATTCAATTTTATGTGTTCTTTCTCTTTCTTTTCATTAGATTTGTGACAAAGAGTGGCATTACTATGTCATCAATGTGGAGTTTCCTGTGGTTACCTTATACATGGATGGAGCAACATATGAGCCATATCTGGTGACCAATGATTGGCCCATTCACCCATCTCACATAGCCATGCAACTTACTGTTGGCGCTTGTTGGCAAGGTGAGCCTAAGTCAAGCCCTTCTCCCTGGCCCATCTTTGTGCAGTCCACAAAAGGTACTGGTAGAGAAAAGGGAAAAAGCAAGTGGTGTGTGAATTAGACAGCAAAGTGTACTTTCCCTTACTAATAAAACACAGTTTATTTTTATATAAGGATTAATGCAGACATTAAACTTAGGTGATAATAAAGCCCTTGGCTGGACACCAGATTTTGATTTTAGATAAACATGAGAAGTTTCATGGTTACGTCTGAGTTGCTAATGCCTTTTACTGTTCTGGAACCTTATCTGGTTTCCAACTGGGGCTGCACAGAGAAAAGGCTGAATGTAGAGTCTTTTATTAAAATTGCCAGTTGGCTCTATTGAGCACTACACTGGTCAGGAGCCAAGGATCCACACACAAGCTGTCCAGGTCCCCAGCCCTCTGTTCCAGAACTCATAAATATGTAGGGCTGTGGAGGGTGGACTGTCCACAGGCCTGAGGCCATGGGAGCCACCCTCAAGTTCAGCTCAGCTCTAGCCACTTCCCTGCTTCCTAGGGACAGAGGCTCCCTGCTGCCTTCTCACCCCAGTATCTCCACTCCCTCCTCACTTCCTCTGCTGCACCTCTCCTCCAAGCCCCAAACCCAGGCTAATCTCCTCTTTGGAGGCAGTAAAGCCAGCATTCAGAGCATGCACGTAAATTTTCTGTCCCTCTCTTGCTTTGTTGGGGTCTTTGTCTTTGCTCTCTTAAGGGCTGGGACGCCCTGAAGCACCAGTGAATGAGCAGAGGGGAAAGGAAATGTCCCCAGATAAGCAGATTAGTACTGAGATAACCCATCCTCATGTTGCTGGATTCTTTCAAAGTTACTAAGATCTGTGACTGTGACCATTTGCCGTGGGGGCTGGTATAAGAGTGCACCTTCAGAGACCAGCTGACAAAGTGTGGACTAGGCGAGACACAGGGCCCTCTGGGTCGGGACAAAGCACAAGTGCTGGGCAGTACCGTGCAAGAGGAGATGCCAAAAAGTGCACAGAGTGCTGCCCTGGGAACTCTAGAGATAGGAAACCCAGGACCAGGGAGCAAAGCGCAAACGAGTCAAGGACAGGGAAGGCATTTTGAGCTGAGGTCCCCTACTTGACATATGACTTGTGTCACATATCATTAAACATTTCAATAGAACTTGATAAGAGCATCATCAATATTGCAGAATTCCCTAGGTTATCGGGAAAGGGAGATTGTTTCATCCGGCGAGAGCCCGTGAAACTATTATAACAAGACCCTAGAGCAGTGGCCCTCTCCTATGGCTCAGTTGCTGCAGCTGGCTCTGCAGCCAGCCTGTGAATATTTTGGAAGGTAGCCTGGATGCCACCCATGAGTTAACAGGGCCCTAGTCATGTCCTCACCATGAAACTTACCGTGACACTTCCCTAGCAGCCCTCAGAGACCACATGTGGATCCCTGCAACCACAGCCTGCAGTGGAAACCTGCCCCCAAGTCTGCAAGGCCAGCTGCAACTGCTGCTGCCCCGTTCCATGCCTACTAGGTAGGGACATGGTCGCACCAAAATAGAAAGTGATTTTATGAAGAATTAAGGTGGTACATTTGAACTAATTAGAATAAGCCAAGGTGTGTTGCAGTCGCAATCAAGTCCCAGTTCTCAGTGACTTAAAAGAATTCCCACTTCATATTTAGCTCAGATCAATGGGGGTGCTCTTCCCTGCTTTCTCCCCAGTCTGGGACCCAAACTCACAGAGTAGCCACATTGTTGCATAATGAGAAAGAAGGAAAAGAAAGCATGATGGGTGGTGCACAAGCCCTTAAAGCTTCCACCTGTGAGCGATACCAGCCATTGTCACTCACATCTTCCCGGCCAAAGCAAGTCCTGTGGCCACACCTAACTCCAACACAGCAGGCAAATGAAACCCACAACATATCTGGAAGAGAAACAGAAAATATTTTATGAACAACACTGATGAACGCCACTGCCTGTCCACTAAGTAAACAGATACTTGTTTGACTATCCTTCCCACATAAAAAATATAACTATCGTTTCCTAAATGAGACAATTCAAGAGGCCTACCTGTTACCAGCTCCTAGTTCGATGCCCAGGTTCTCTGAGTGATTCCTGTGATCTCTTCATCAGGGTGAGATGCATCAGAGGCTCTGTATCAGGCCCAGATGTGGCACTACTTGATTGGAAGACTGCTATGCTAATAGGAAGAAGTCTGTGCTCCCACCACAACCATCACCCCCTCCATCATAAACACACGAACACACCAACACACACACACTCTCTCTCTCTCTCTCTCTCTCTCTCTCTCTCTCTCTCTCACACACACACACACACACACACACACACACACACACACACCACACCACACACCAAGCAACAACAGAATGAGGCAGAATAACCAAAAAGCATTTCCAGTAAGTAAGAGTAGAATTAGAGAAACACAGCAATCTTTTGTCCATAATAATTCCCTCTGGACAGATGCTGTAAGGGCCCTGCCCTAGGGTGGGAAGTGTTCTGAACGGCCCTCAGCTCCATCCTCTGGCAGGTGTTTCCTTCTCCAATATTGCCTTGGCCACATCTGAAGACAGCCTGGTCACTCCATAAATAACTCTAGTATTGTGCTTATAATTTATTTAAAATCTATTCCAAAAAAATGTTTTTCAAACATTCAATCAAGTAAGTACACCTTTATTTTAAAGGAATGGGGGAAAGAATTACCAGCAGGTCATTCACTGAGTCCTCTTCCCTGAGAGATGCTAGGACCACCCTTGTTGGAGAAAGATTGGCCATTTGACCAGCTAAATGTCAGTGGAAGTACCTAACGTCATTTCCTGAAGGAAACTTTAAGAGCCAGTGTTGCAAGGAGACCCATTACAGACATAGGTGTTTATAATCCTGTGAAAAAGTGCTATTAGTCCCAACTTGCAGATGCCATGAAACTTAGGCTCTGAGAAGTTAAGTCACCCAGTTGAGTCTACCCAACCCCAGGTCTCCAAAGCCTGTTCTCTCTTCACAGTAGCTCTCTGCCCCTGTTGCTAGTTGATTGGTTTGTAGGTGTCATTATGTGTTGGGAAAATGCAGGAGCTGATGTGTACTGATATAAATACTTAAACCCCTTACCTTCTTAGACACCTGGCAACTTGGGGATCAAAAAGCCAGAGGAGCACTGCCTTCTCTTTGCTCATCTTCTGCTCTGTACTCCTTACATACACATGACCCTCTACAAAACAAAGAAAAGGAGTTTAGGCTTTGGAGCCAGAAAACTTTGAGTTTGAGTCAAACCCCAGCCCTGCCACCTACTAGCTATGTGAACCAGGCACAAAAATCCCTAACTTGCCTGAATATCTATTTTCTTATCTGTAAAACTAGAGTAATACCTGCCTCACAGGGTGGTTATAAGACTAGGTGATTGGCACATGGAATGTGTCTGGCATGTTTCAGTTGAATGAATACGTACATTTGGAAACATCGCTGGTCCCCTCCCCCGCCCCTTCTCCTTACGCCTAAACTCAACATGGCCAACAGTCTAAGACCTTGGGACACTCTGGCTTCCCTTTGACTCCCTGCATACACTGATGCTTCTCCCCTTCCCCTCGACCAACCCTCACACCCAAGCCCTGCCCTCCCAGGTCCATTGTAGGGCTGAAAGAAGGTCAGTGAGGCTGGAGAAAAGACCATCGGAAGACAGGTATCTGGAGATGGGGCTTGCGGTGGAGGCAGGGACCTGATCATGCAGTCTTTTAAGCCATGGAGAAGATGTGGGTACCTTCCCTGAGAAGAATGACAATCCTCTAGTGAACTTTCAGCATAGGAGAAAATCCTTATAAATTTAAGACTGGGCTTTATAGGATGAGTAAGAGTTCACTAGGAAGATAAGGAAGACAGCACAGGCCATGAGAGAGAAGCTGGACGTAGTCATGGGAAGGGTGCCGCATCCCTGGAATTGCACAGGAGGCCCAGAATGAGTGGGGACAAGGCTGGGGAAGAGCTGCGAGCAGGCCACAGGATGCCAGCACGCCTTGCTAAGGAGCTTGGATTCTCGTGAACACTTAACATCCTCCTGGGAGCAATGGTTTTGTCTTGCAAGTACACATCAAATGACCTTTCCACAGGACATGTTGCTGCAAACTTAATGGCCTGTGATGCAGCCCTTATCTTGGCATGTTTATAAACCTTCTGAAATCTACTAATACACATATTATTAGCCTGCTCTGTGAACCTCTAATTGCCTTTGGGCCTGCAATTGTGAGTTTTTCAGGTGATTTTGAGGTTGGCAAGAGAACTAGTTTCCATTTGTGAAATTTCTGGTCAAGGTTTAACAATGGGGACAGAAACTAATTTGATAACAGCTGCTCGTCGGGCACTCCTGGGACCTGGCCTGCCACTGACACTCAGCCGTACTCTGCAGCCCCAGTTAGCCTACTGTGTCCTGTTATGAATTTGAAAGCCAAAGCCTTCAGTGGAATTTCATTTCCACTGCTATTTTTCCCAGTAATTAAAAAAAATTGAGACTTCATTTACACTTATGAAATGTTGCCAGGACAGCCCAGAGCACACAGTTTATCTGAATCGTAGAGAAAGGCTTTTGCAATCAGGACAGACCTCACATGACAAGAGTCCTCCTTCCCCCCCTTGCCATCACCTCTGTGCTCAGTGGCACAGTTCCAGGATGGATCAGACCCTCTCTCCTGGCTGCACTCAATCTGTGCTAACTCAAAAACTTCTGCCTTTACACAAATACCAGGTTCCTGGTCTCTCTCTGGGACACGCCATGAGAGAAGATCATTTAAAAGGCTAATTAATTTGTCCTTCTCTTTAGACATCCTATGCATCCATTTCTAACAGCAATAATTCAAGTTCTGCTCATATATAATAAAAATTGTACACTCACATCTGCTTTGCCCCTGGACCTCTCAACTGGGCTCAACCCCTGAGGGACTATAACCCAGCTAGTGTGGGAGTGAGTTAGGAAGGCTGCTGACTGTGTCAGGGCTCAGGGACATGCCCCAGCAGGTAGAACTCCAGGGCACCTCTCCCCCAACACTGTGACCAGAGCAACTCTGTTCTACCTATTTTGTATGATCTCTGGGCAAGTTATTTTAATGAAGTGTCTAACCTTGTCTGAAGTAGCACAACTCTGGGCACATGCTCCAGAAGCCACCACACTGCTCTCTGCTGGATCCTCACCTACTCTGGGTGCATCTCATCACAGGCTTGCCTACCTGCGACTCTGCCCCCAGTGACCACCACATGCCTACCTCTGCTGGGGACTCTCCTCCAGAGCTCTGGACCTTGGCCTCCCTAGAGTGTCCAACTTGGTCACCTCCTGACTGTAGAACCCCTGGTCTTCTATCCTAGCTCCTGCCATGTTGAGTCCTGCTCCCTACTTAACAGTAAAGCAGCAGGAGGTAGAGAAGGGGATGATTTTTAAAATAAGCACCTCTCCTTAGGGACAGATACAGAACCCCCCCTGTGGCCTTTGGGAGGAGCCAAGACAAAGAATAGCAGTGATCACAACAGGCGTAAAAAGGCAGGAATAACCCTGAGAGTTCCAGTAATCAATTGTTTATGATGCTCATATCGCAGGGAATTGGAGCCATATGTTGTCCTGAGATATGCTGTACATTTCCAGGTCTGTTTTCTGCCAGACACTAAAATTAGGGCAGACACTTGGCGTACATGCCTTCATTTAATAAGCTTGGTCTAATTTAGTGCAAATTCTCTTAATAAAGTCTGTGTTGAAATTATTCTGCATCCCTAGGGTCTCTGCTGCTGGAAGAAAGAGGCACGTGCTAACACAGTCTGTCTGACATTCAGGTGGCATTTCCCAAGGAAGGTTTAACAGCTCCAGTCCCTTAGGACGCCCCTTCCACAAGGAGGTCAAGTCAAGTTTGGAAAAACCACATAAACTATTCCCACACCACCACTTTGGAGAGACAACACATATTAGTTTATTAACAGCTCTCAAAAGCCTGCCAATGAGGGAATCTGTTTGATATTACTTAACCCATGTTTCTCAATCTTATTTCACTATGGAACTCACTCTTTGGGACATAGTGTTCCTGGAGCACTCTTTGGGAAATACCTCATCAGAGTCATTAATGCACATGTCTGTCCCCTGCTAGGTCATGAGTCTGTAGGAGACAAAGACGGACTGCTCGCACAGATTCTCCTCTCCTTTCCAATAATCAATGTCTGTTGAATTATACCCCATTTTTGAGGCTCTTTTAACAAAGATATGTGGTTCATGGTCTGACACACTGAAATGACTAAAAGGGTGTCTGTTAACATTGTCTATATTAAAAAATCAAGAAAAGATTTGCTAAGTTCTGGAGTATTTGACATGAGGGTGTATTGGTTTAAAGAAGACACAGATGAAATCAGCTTTAAAATTGAGTGTTCATGTCTGGAAGCACAGTATAACTGAGTTATAATTCTAACTGTATCTTATTCTGAAGATTATATTAATTAGGAAATTTGACAAGGGTCTTAGAGCAAGAACAGTATCATTTTAACTTCTCTGAGAGACACACTGGAGGGAAGGATAAAAGAGAAGCAGGCCACTGAAGAGAGACAGGGAAAACCCTCATGGTGGAATCTCATCTGGAAGCTTCTTGGTTCTGCTGCACTAGAACGCTCTGCCATTCTCAGGTTCCCGCTCTGTGCTGAGCTCTCTGCATGACTTCTCCTTCAACACCACTAGGGTGTGATTATGGTTATGCTCCCCACGTTTCAGGTGAGGAAACTGAGATTGAGAGAAGGTAGGTACCTTCGTTAAGGGTCACATAGAGCAGCCTGGACTGGCCCCAGCTCTGTACCATCAGAGCCCTCAGGAACAGTTACACTACTATACCACCTCGGCTTCTAGGGACAGGTAAAGCCAGATGGCATTTCACATCCAAATACAGAAGACCAGAGGATTCTGGAATCTAGAATCAAATCATTTGCCTGCATTCCCTGGGCATTTTTCCCACCAGATTGGGCAAAGCAAAGCTGAGACCTAAAGATAATTACAGGGCCAGCAGGCATCATGTTTTTGCACAGGGAGAACTGAATTTGGAGTCAGGAGAATTCCAGACCCTCACCGCTTTGCTTCTATGCTCTGGGTCTTTGAAAAGTGTCTTGCCTCTGTGCTCCCCAGCTTTTCGTCTGGAGAATGAAGGGTTACCTTGGATGATATCTGAGGGCCCTTCCAACTCCATGAATTTAGGTGCCCAACCCAAGAGAGCTGCTAGCTGAGGTCATCCATAAGTCATGTGTTTTGCTCACTTAGAACATGCTATATCAATGTTTTCAGGAAAGGCTGGAGAGATGTAGACATTAAAACTGAAATGGTTGAGAAAGCCTGCTGAGAATGTGTCATGACCAGCCTTGATGGCAGATCTCTACAGGTCACCTGCCATGTACAGCTGCAACCCCCCGGGGTTGTGTGGACAGTTTTACGGCTGCAGCTTTTGGGGGTCTATTACACACTTCACTTAGTCTCTGCATTCCATGGGTGCCTCCATCACTGAAATGAGAGAATGAAAGAAAGCAAAATTTCAGATGGTCTCACCATTTGCATTGCTCAGAATTGGTACCCAACCATCCATGAAATTGTGTTCATTGAGGGGCATCCCCATCAACAAGCCATATGCGCAGAGCAGCATTAGCCTCAAACAAGAGGGAACATCGCCCCCATTCTTTTCTAGGTGTTTCTCAGACTAAATAGCTATGGGAATGACACAGGAGAGGAAAGACCAGCAGCATCCTGCACACACTTGGCCAAGGGAGGAGACTTAGTATGTTCACACACACAAATCTTTTACTTACACTTAGAGGAAAGTGGACATTACTGACTCAAAAGCTATGTTAAGAGTGGGTGGACTCCATCTTTCAGTTGAAGGAAAGCTAAGGGGAAATTCATTACCAATGCAAACTCTGGCTCAGAACAACACAGGCTACATTAAATCACATTTGCCAAATACTACTGTTTTTCAAGACTACTGTGTTTCCCAGCAAATGACACAAATTGTTGAGAGTTGCTGCTGAAGTCAGTCAGTGTCCACAGAAGCCAGTCTGATTGGACATTTCTGCCCCAGCATTGCGTCAGTCCCAACCTGCCCCCATGTTTCTTAGCCCAATTGTTACATCCTCCAAGAAATCCTCCTTGAACCCTCCCCGCCACATCCCATTGGGTGGCGTGCAGGCCCAAGGCTTGGCAGCAAGCAGTACCTGAGTTTGAATCGATGTATCACTAATTTCTGGCTGTGTGGCCTTGGGCAAGTTACCTGACATTGAAAACATTGCCTGTAAAGGAGTTAAAAGTTCAGCAGGTAAGAATCTGAATTCACAAAGAAAAAACTATTTTTCCACATACATCTTTGTTTCATTTCAAAGCCTTATTCCATCTGAGTTGAGGAGATTTAATCCTGGTAAATTTAGAATTCTCCCATTTCTGGGTGATTGCAAGGGGATTTATATGGTGCTGGGGTGTGGAGGGACCTCCAGTCACTTCCCAGCTGGTACTCCCTGCAATGGGGCCCACCTCTTTGTTCCTCAGTCACTAGCAGTTTTCAGGGCTGGCAGCAATTTCTTTGCCTTGCTCAGGGGCATAGAAATACCTCCCCTGCTCCCATGCTCTCTCAGTAAGGCCATCTGCAGTCCATCTGTCCATCTGTCCAGGTGCACTAAGGCCAGCATTCCCTCCAGCATCACATCGCCCGCCTGGGCTCAGCCCAGGTAGCAGGTGCTGGTGCCCTAGCTCTGCGCCTCTGTTGTCTTACTCCCTTCACCCTCGCTGCCACTGCCATGTCTGGGATGTCATTTCCTCATCTGGGGAGAGCCATATTGTCTTCCTCTACTTATCTCCAAATGCTGAACCATACCCAGCTGCCCCCCACCAAGGATTTAGACTTCTGGAAACAAAACTGGGGAATAAACTCAGCTTCAAGCCCCATCTGTTCTTCTCCTTGTCACAACCGTCACTGTAGCAATGAGCACAAACCAGAGATGTGTTGAAATGGAGAGAAATACTAAGGGAAAATTTAAAAAGTAGAGGCTAAGCTCTCAAAAGTACTATCCTGCCACTTAAGTATTAAATAAAGAGCATAATGAAGAACTTGCCATGTTTTAAGGACCTAATAAATGCTGACTGTAATTTTTTCCCCTCTGATCTGTTGGATACATTACCTGTATCATGTGTTTGGAAATTAATCATGCACTGCCTTAGAACATCTATTATGCTGGCAATCTGTTCTTATATTTTTATTTTACTTCCCCAGCATCTATACTTTATTCTTCCAACTAAATGTAAGCTACTAGAGAACACAGTCGACATCTTATAATTAACTGACTCTAACAGAAGGCTAGGCATGCAACAAATACTTTAAAAATGTGTGCAGATCTAGCCTCAGGAATTCAAAATCATATTCACAGCCATTTAGAGAAAGTTCTTTGTGGAAAAAATCAAGTTATGTTTTTTCTTAAAATAATTCATGAGCATGTTTATGTCTAAATGTTACCAGAGAAGCCGTGTGGTTTATGCAGACACCCTAGATGTTAAGAAGAAAGAGATTTTTAATGTATCTATTATTTTAAAAGTCCCACATTACAATCACCCCTGAGTGCAAGTATATTTCAAATTTTATGCTGGCCTCCTATTGCAAAATGCTAATTGAATTGATTTCCTGGAGCTCTGTCACTAATAAACAGGGTGCATCACAGATCTAGGATTCTTGAGTCAAAAATATATGAATGTTTTTCTGAGAGAAAGTAGAGTAGAGTAAAATGTCTTAGCATCTGACAGAATCTCAAAGTTTGGCATTTAAGGATGGAGCTGCCCACTGAGTGGTCAAGGGGGTCTAACTGGTAGACCACAGTGGGCTCCCTCTCAGCTTCACTCTGGACTGGGTTAGCCAGTAGGCTCTGGCTGGCTCTGTGCAGGATGGATGTACTCACACTGTAGGGGTACACACATCACCACTTACATCTCTCTAAGCCTGAGTTTGCTCATCTGCAACTACAGAATAAGTACCTACCTCCCAAGAGTTTGATGAAGATTCAGTAAGTTGATGTATGTTGAGGACTTCACATAGAGTTGGAAACAGAGTTCATTCCCAGTAAAAAAATACTCATTTGTTGTTTTGCAGCTGCTGCTTCAGGGGAAGGGGGTGGAAAAGGCAAGGAAGAGATGACCTTCTAGATGTCCTGGAGAGTGACAGATCTACAGTTCATACCCAGGCTCATACCCTTCCTCCTGTCATTTCTCTTCCATGCCAATTTCTCCTGTCATTTCATTGGCCTAAATTTGGTCTCATGATATTTCTGGACCAACCTCTGGCTTATTGGATGGCAGATGCTGATTGGCTTCACCTTGTTAAGAGGTCCAAAGTCCACACCTGACTCAGTCACTGGAACAGTGGGAACAGGAAAACCCCATTAGCTTTGACTAAATAGAATCCATCCCCACAGGTTGAGTTCAACCCTCCAAACCTCAGGGCTGCTATTGCAAGAGGACAGGAGTGAGATGGATGTTGGAGAGACACTTCAATGCCCACTACTCTTCTGGTATTTAAGTCAGCATCTCCTTCAATTCAGCAATGAGTTATGAAGCATCTGCTGCATGCCAGGCAGGGTGCAGGATGCAGGGAGGACACAGGGGCCCCATATTGTTAAGAGGAATAAATAAGCCAACTTATGCAAAGTGTCTGGTGCAGCCCTCAGCCCCTAATACCTGCTCAGTGTTGTCTTCATAAAAATGAATAATGCATGAGTGCTTCCTGCCATCCAGGACAAAGACTAAACAGATAAACTCTAGCAGTGTGCAAAGTGTGGCACGGGGAAGCCAGAAAGTGGCATAAAGGAGAGAGGGCACGTAAGGAGTATGCAGAAAGCCCAACATCAAGAAGTTTATAGCCCAGTGGTTCTTAACCTTAACTTCGGGTTTAACTCACCTGAGTTTTTAAAACTCCCTACACCAGCTAAGTCACAATATCTGTGGATAAGACCCCGCAGCAGGATTAGTTTTTCTTTTTAAAGATTTCCAGATGATTACAATGTGCAGCCAAGTTTCAGAACCATGGTACGAGGCTACTGAGGACATAAAGCAACACACATAAGCCATTAACAATGCCGGGTTGCAAGGACTATGTTAAAATGAAGTCAGTGTTTCAAGGCTTTGGGCAGGGAAAGGGCATAGTAGGCAGAGGCCTCAGAAAAAGGGAGAAGGCCTGGTGGGCAGGGGACTCAAAGCAAGGGAAGGACATGGTGGGCAGAGGGCTGAAGTTAGGGGAGGGTACAGTGGGCAGGGGGCTTATAAAAGATTTCTGCGATTAACCGGGGACAGGCGGCTTAAGGAGCCTTGAAGGAGCACCCACTACCCCAGGGCTGAGACAGAATGCCCAAGGGACAGACCCCCCACTCCACTCCCCAGATTGAGTTCCAGATTGCTGGCACAGCATGGCTCACTGAAGGGCAGAAAAGTTGTGTAGTGTCACTCTGGCAGAACTTTCCAGAAATCTGCCTTTGGTGTGCTGGGGAAAGTTGTTTGCAGGGGCCATCTCCCTGGAGCTGGCCATGCCCTGCAGGTGCCAGGTACCAGGGCGGCTGTGGGCGCCTGCTCGGAGTGCAAGGGAACCAGGACGCAGAGCCCAGAAGTGTCGCTGCAAGCAAGCAGAGGCTCAGAGAGGTCACAAAACCATCCCCAGGAATTAGCAAAGCTGGACCTGCACCCAGACCTATCTTTCCTAAATATTCTGCTACCTCTCTGAATAAACAGAAGTTCAAGGTCAAGGCTGGTCTGTCAGTGGGCTGCCCAGAGATAGAAGGGGTCTGTACTGGAGGAGGCAAGGATCCAAATGGCCCTTAGGGGCTTCTTTTTAGGGATCTGTGGAAAACCAAGGAAAAAATAGGGAGAGGTGACTTAACACAAACAGCATGGAAAAATTTCACATGCTGACAGGCAGACCTGGAGCTCAGGTGGGGCTCAGGAGAGAACAGGAAGCAAGTGATGAGAAGAAAATTAGAGGCAAAACAAAATCAGGGAAGTCTTTCTATATCAAAGAACTTAAATTTGAGCATGTATGAAATGAAATCATTGCTGAGAGAGCCAGGGCCCATGGATGAAGGGTTTCTAGGTTTCCTCAATTGCATGCCAACCTCTCAGTGGAATAGAGGGGAGCAAATGCCAGCTTTGGTCAGACAGAGCAGGACTAGAGTACCAGCTCCAGCATTTAGCTGTGTGCCCTGGGGCAAGTCCCTCAACCTTTCTGAGTCTCAGGGTTCTTTGTGCATCAATTGGAAGAATGAGACCTTCTTTGCAGGCTTGCTCAGACCGTAGCAGACAGCCTGGCACACTGCAGGCCTTTGATCAGTAGTAGCTTCCTTGTCCCTCCTGTTTTTCCTCTGTAGGCCCTTAATGTCTTCTAACACAGTTCATGCCTCTGGAAGTGACTGGTTTAAAATTCAAAGATGTCAGGGTTCCTAAATCAGGTGCAGCTGGGGAGTGCCAAGGTCTTGGTGGCAAATAACATCGTCTCACTGAGATTCTGGCTGCTGAGCTCACCTTTCCAAAGGAAAAGCTCAGGGTTAGGGGACAGTCACCACATCCTCGGATCCCTGCCCAGAAGGTACCTTGAACTGGTGTTTCACACGCGATCTCCACAAGACGACTACTGGTGTTGTTTTTCTTATAGGAGGAGAAGTCACGAAACCACGGTTTGCTCAGTTCTTCCACGGCAGCTTAGCCAGTCTCACCATCCGCCCTGGCAAAATGGAGAGTCAGAAGGTGATTTCCTGCCTGCAGGCCTGCAAGGAAGGGCTGGATATAAATTCCCTGGAAAGCCTTGGCCAAGGAATAAAGGTAAGGAGGGAGCGGCATCACCTGCAATAAAATGGTGCTTTAAGAGGCTGCCGGCACCAGTGCACCCTGAGAATTGGAATCTATCCCTGCCCAGTAGCACAGAGATGGTGCTGCAGCAAAAACGACCTGCCCCAGGGGGCAGATGCATGAAGGTGACTTCCACCATGGACTTCTGCTGTCTCCTGAGATTCCTAGATGAAGCCTCTGTGCACAAGTTCCCTGCACAGAAGCAGGCCCATGGTCAATGTCTACCTCTTGTTCCCAGGCTGGCTGGTGGCTTTGTTGTTTATTTTCCAAAGGAACTGAAGTAGCCTGCATGAACATTAAAAATATTAAAAAGTAACATGCAAAAATATTTTAAAAACAGAATAAAAAGTTTGGGCCATGTAAAATACAAATTAAAGGTCAGCCTGGAGTGGGGCTCAAACTGAAAGCAAATGTGGAGGTCTCTGGGTCTTACATGGTTAAACTGAAACACAGATTGGGCTTCGAGCGATTTCTGGCAGTCAAAGGGAACATGAGAAGACTCACAATTTTTATCATCCACACAAAATAAAGACATTCACACGATCCAACCAAATCAAAGCTGCGCTCTGAGGAAAGCACCCCCTGAGAGGGCAGGGAGTGGCCAGCTGTCCTCAGGAGGGCCTCCCCATCAGCAGGGGTGGTTCTGGCCTCACCTGGACCTTAGGGGCACCTGCCGGCATGGAGCCCCTGGGGTCCTCAGCAAATAGCAGGGTAAACATCACTGTAGGCCCTGCTCATTCATGATGGACCCCAGTGAAAGCAGGCAGCTCTTCAGACGCCTCTCCAGAATTTGAGTGGCCCACCCTCTGCCTCCAGGGCCACAGGGCAGCCCCCCAAGGCCCCCCACCCCTTCTTGGCCACTTCCCAAGGAGGGTGTGATCAGAGCCGAGGTTCTCCTCCCTGCCTCCCATCCCCTGCCCAGTGCTGCCCACAGAGCTCTGCCCTAACCTCCTGCCCGGGGCCTGCCTCTCCTGGACCGGGAGTCATCCCTCCAACAGAAAGCCCTCTTATTTATGCCATCAGTGGGCCTCATGGGGCTCCGACATGGGGTGGTCTCAGAGGGGCTAGTGACCGAATGCGTCATGCTCTTCTTTAAGCTGGGGTCACTTCAACAAGCATTCCGTGGATGCCCATGCACGTGGGTCAGGGCTTGCCGAGGGACACGAACTGAACATTCCAAGCCTACTGTCTTCGGGAAAGTCAGTGGCCGGAGCAGACGTTTGTAATCCGGTGTGACAGCCGCTGCAGTGACTATGAGCCCTAATGTGCACTGAGCCCTCCCAAGTAGTGGGCACTGTTCTGAACACTTTATAGGCAGTAACTCACTCAAGCCCCAGAGCAACGCTCTGATGAAGGTGCTGTGAGCATTCCTATGTTGCAAATGCAAAACTGAGGACCGGAAGAGAAAGGAAACTTGTCTAGGATCCTAGAATTAGTAATGAATGGAGCCAGAATTTGAACCCAGGCAGTCCTGCTCCAGACCTCCAGAACCTGGAGGAATAGCAGTTCGGAGAGGCTCCTCGGGGAAGGAGAAGTCAGCAGAATGTTTCAGCCTGGGCAGGAATCAGCCAGGAAAAAGGCTGGGGGTGTTGGGGAGCACAGGGCAGGCACCGTGGGCAGACCCAGGAACATGAGCAGCCCTGCGGTGTGCAGTTACTCCAAGGCCAGTGCTACAGGTGCCCAAATCATGGAGGAAAGGTAGAAAGTGCGACCAGAGTGCTAGGCAGAACCATGTCAATGGAGCCTTGTTAACTGTGCTTGGGTGTTTACGTGTCTGTCGCAAAGGAGGCTTCAGGCAAAGGAGTGTGATCTGGACGGGGTGTGGTTTAGGATTTCCCTCTAAAGGCTGGGCTCAGAGGGAGAGGGGATGGGATGAGAGGAGGACACAGATAGAGGAAGGCCAGAGCAGGTTTCCAGAAGAGTAAATACACAGGCATAGGCACAGGTGTGCTCAACAGCTCATCACCTGTCATCGAAGGAAACTCACAAAACTGCCTCATATGAGAAAGGCAGCTTTCTGCTGGTCTGTTTCATGGCCGCTGGTCCAGGCAAGCCCCTCATGGCACATCTAATGTAGGGATCCTCACGTGGAGCATCTGGGGTTTGATCTTTGACCAGCTGTTTGTGTTGTTTTCTTAACATTTTGTCAACCCAGTGATGCAGAAATCTGTCCTCCACCCCTCCTCTCTGTCTGATTCTGGATTCACTCCCTGCCTCTGAGTGAATCAGCTGTGCTCTGGACCATCCTGTGGGACCACAGTTTCAGGATTCCAAGCACTACAGACCCAATAAACCAAAGATGCTGGACTTCAAAGCCACACACTCTTAGAATTATAAAGAAGCACAGCAATTTCTGCCTAGCAGTCACAGCTTATGAAAAGAGGAAGTACTAAACTGAGAGGCACAAGAAGCCAGGTGGGAGAGGCTAATCCAAGTTTTCAGGATACCACCTGGTCATGACCAGCCCCTGCAAAGGACCCTTTTCCATTCTCAGGGTGCAACTGGCAAGAACTAGAGTGCTGTGTGAGAAGTTAATGATAAGACACAATTTTCAGTGCCCCCACTGGGGGCTTTTTTAAGTTCATTATCCCTACTCTTCACGATAAATTAAATATTATGACCCCATTTCAGAAATAAGGAGATTGGGGCTCAGGGATTTGTCCAAAGTAACTTCGTGCTCTTTCCTCCACACCAGCAACTCAGATTAGAAGACATTCTTGAAAATTATCAAGACTTCCTTCTTTCTTACCCTTCCTCCTTCGAGCCCTCATTTCATTTCTAGATACTGACTATTATTCCATTCCTGGCCTCCTTCCTCCACTCTGATTAGTCAAAAGAAGTGAGGTCCTCCTGCAAATAAAGAAACATCCCATTCACTCACAGGGCCCAGCACAGGTTCCTCTTTTGACTTGCTTTCCCCTAGAATGTACATGTTTTGGACTATTTCTCCAGCATGTCTAGAGACATTAAATGGTCGTGGTAGTTATCAATTGGTTGTCTTGTGTCCATACAAGAAACTGTAGAATAGCCACATCCCTAAAGAATACCCTTCAGGTATTCTTTTTTTCACAACAAATCCCTGGCAGTTTGTCATCTCCACAGTGTGGCAGAGGAAGAAAGAGCAAGAACTTTGGAACAAGACACTCCTAGGTACAAGTCACAGTATGGATATTTGCTAGGTGGGTGACCTTGGGCAAGGTACTTTAATCCTTTAAGCCCAATGTCTCCTGAATAAAATGGACTTAATATTATTTTGTAGTACTGTTGTGAGATTTGCATTTTATGTATATTTCATATATCTCTATTTATTTATATATATATTAGATATAGAAAAGGGATACATATATAGAGATAGATGGGATGATATAGATACAGGTACATAGATATAGATCACCCCTAACAAGCCTAATAAATAGGCTCTCAACAAATCATAGCTCCTTCCCCTGCTGGGCTGGCCTTGTACTTGACAGTCGCTGCTGTCCAAGCTTCCTCTGAACAGTAAGCCTGGGTGACTGTGGCAGAAGAGCCTTAAGGGGCAATGCTTCATCTGGCCCAGCCCAGGGGGACTGGCAGGTAGCCAAGGGAACAGCAAAGTTCCCTGAGGAGCAGGCCAGGGTATCAGGCAGGGATCTCACTGCTGTTCCAGCCTGCTAGGTGGCTGGTGACAGGGCCAACTTTAAGAAAGCTGACAGTTTGCAAAGGCCATCTGTCTAGCAGCTTCTTAGCTCAAAAGAAGGGATCACAGTGGCCAATACAGCTTCCCAAGGGATGGTAAGCAATGTCACCCTTTGCTAGGTCCCCAGGAGGCCCTCTACTGCCCCTGTGATAGTGCCATTATCACCCAGTGTCCCACACAACCAGAGACCAACTCTGTCATTCCACAGGGCTGGGAACACTTCAGTTTTCAAAAACCAAACAAACAAAAACTTTGTATGGGGGAGGGTTTTACTGATCCTGTAAGAACTATGTTGATGGCTAGCCAGTGCCCAGCTTCATGCCCTGTGGCAGCCCCCAGGATGCTCAGGCAGATAGGTGAGAGTGTTGACTATAGATCCAACATTGCCTAACCCCACCTCTCGCTAGGTGGCTGCCATGCCAATGTGCCCTCTGCCGGCTGCCATAAGGTGCTGCCGATTCAAGCCTCTGGAAGAACTGTGGATTTCCTGTTCAGCTCTCATGCAAGGCGTGGAGGTCAGCCTCCTTTGCGGGGTTCTGCATTTTGTCCCAGGTTCCTCATGTGTTAGACCCTGTGGTGACACCGAGGAAATGTTAGGGGCCCCTGCCCTCAAGGTGTTCACGGTTGGCTGGAGTGGCAGATGGACAGACAGCAGGACTCTGTACTGTTTCCACAGGACTCTGCTCTAAAAGGGATCACAGCAGGATGCCGAAAAAACAGGTGGGAACCTAAGTAGTATTTCAGAAGAATGTCCTTGAATCTGTTCAGATCTGAAATTGGCTGCTTTGGGAAACACTCAGAACTAGAAACGACCCACCAGAGCAGGCAGGTCCATGGCTAGCACACTAAGCTGGTGAGTCATCTAGGGCGAGAGAGGAGCCACCCCAGAGCTGACCGGAGCATCGCCTGTGCATGTGCCTGGGGCCCCGGAACCCAGCTCCAGGGGCGGCGCTTGTGGCCAGACCCCACAGCTCAGGGACACCTGCTCAGGGCATTGAGGGCAGGAGGGAGCTGGGTCACAGGGAGAGAGCAGAGGGCAGGAGCAGCACGGCAATGTGCTGCATAATCCATGCTGCACTCAGTGCAGAAATAATCACAATATGAAGAATCATAATAAAAGCTATCCCAGACTGAACACCTTTGAATTGCTAGATATTTTATATACATTATGTCATGGAAGCCCCAGAGAGGGAGATATTAATATCCTCATTATTTTTACATGAGGAAATAAAGTCCAGAAAGGGGAAGAAAATCATCAAAAGCTGTACTATGTAGTTTGTCCTGGAGCTGGGATACCACAGTCCACACAACCTGTGAGCCTTCAGAGATGCCACGGAGCCTTAGGGAAATGAGAATCACTCCTCAGAAGGGCTGAATTCTTCCAAGTGGGCTAAGGGATAGCAGCAGCAAATGACTCCAAAATCTCTATGGCTTTAATCCTTAACAGTTAATTTTTCTCTCTCACTGTATGTGGGAGGTGGGGTGGGTTTCTGCCTAGAAAGCCACAGGCCACCAAAGTGGAGGCAGAAAGAGGCTGGACATCCAGTAGACATGTCAGTGCCTCAGCCCAGAAGGGCCCACCTCACTTCCTGTCACATCTCATTGGTCAGACGCAGTCATATGGCCCCACCCTCACCCCGTGCAAGGCAGTGGAAGCCCCCAGAGAGCCCCAGGACGAAGGAGAGCGGGGCTTGGCCAGCACAGATGATGACTCCCACAGAGCTTTGATCGAAAAGACAGTGATTGACAAAAAAGAGTCGTTTTGGGGAATAACAGGAGATGATACTGAGTAAAACGTGGGCCCAGGGACCGTTCACTCATCCATCTAACAGGGGCATGTGTGGCAGTAGGGCTCGGTTCTGGGATTCAGGGGCAAGAGTTGGAGCCCCTGTCTTCAGTGAGCTCAGGGTCACTGCACAGTGATAACTGATGACCATTTCAGAATCACTGTAGGAACCCAGTGGGACTCTCAGTGAGGGAAGCTGGAGAGGCCTCAAGGAGGAGGTAACAAAAAAACACTTTGTAGGAGACAAAGATGGAGCTTTCATTGGTTAGGGTTGCAATGCAAGGGATTTATGTGGATCAATGTCATCAGCAGTGCTCAGGAGGCATCCACTTCGTTAGGGTCCAGAAACAGAACAAGGAGCTCATATAAAGACATCCTAGTCAGATCAGGGAAAAGTTAATTGACAGTTTTCCTTGAATTCATGGAAACACATTCAGTAAAATGCAAATTAAAACTACACTGAGATGGCACTTATCACCTGTCAGACTGGATAAAAATCCCAAAGTCTGGAACCATAATCTTTTGTTGAGGTTTTGAGAAAAAGACTCTTTCTCATACCCGGTGAAAGGGAGTGTATATTGATATAATCCCAGCAATAGGGAACTTGGCAACTTTTGTCAGAATTTAAAGTACATATACTCTTTGCTCTCACAATTTTACATTGAGGGATTTGTCTGACAGGTATTTGCACACATGTGAAGTGTTATGGGTACAAGGTTATGCATTATGGCATAATTAGTAAAGGATTGGAAATGATCCAAAGCCCATAGGAGACTGGTTAAATAAATTTCAACTTACCTACTCAGTGGAATGTTATATGGCTGTAGAAGGAATGCAGAAGGTTATGAGTAAAGATCTCTGAAATAAGAGCTAAACCAAAAAACAAAGTACAGTGTAGTGTGTAATAAGCTACCTTCCATGTAAGAAAGGGAAAAAAATGGAAATCTATATTCATAAGAACCTTAAGTATAGTGGTCAGGATAGACTAAGTTATGCTGCAGCACCAAGTAGCTTAGAAATTTCAGTTGCTAACACAACAAGCATTTTTTGGTTGTTCACACATCACATCCATTATAGATTGGCTGCAGCTCAGCTCTACACCACCCTCACTGTGAGACCCGGGTGGATGCAGCAGGCCCTGCGAGACCTTTGCAGGTTTCGTGGCAGAGGAAAAGAGGCATGGCAACATGAACAGGCTGCTAAATCTTCCACATGAGTGTGAATCAAGCAATACTTCTGTCTGCATTTCATTGGCCAAGCAGGTCACATGATCACTGAGAGCAACAGGGCAAAAATGTATATCCTGCAGGGGAAGGCACCATAAGTCCCATTATCAAGCCTGTTGACAATAGGGCAGGCCTGTGTAAACCTTCCCTGGGAAGGGAAGCAACTAATCATGAACAATAATGCAATTTGCCACTAAGGGATTAATGTAACAGTGACTCCCTAAGGAATGGGACTGTGGAAACTGGGTGGGCAGAAAACAGGAATAAGATGGACAATTTCACTTAGCACATATATACACATATATCTGAAGCATGTGAATATATTATCTATCTAAAAATAAATAATTATTGTCAAGTAGATACATAACAATATATCCATGTCTCCCTCTCCTGTGCCATGAGCATTGGACATATAAACTGAAGCCACAGATATGTTTTTGACATCTTACTGGTAGCAGTTGCTAATAATTCTTGCTCCAAAGCATGTCCCAATCAGTATCTCAGACCAGTACGAAGGCAGTTCTTCATGCTCCACCCAGAGTAACTGCTGGGCTGGGGTGACATGGTGAGAAGCAGAAGTCTGTATCTAGTCTATCTAGATTGGGGATTCAAGGGACTCAGTGGGGAACAATGTAGTCCCTGGGCCTTCACCACCTGGGATATCAGGGACTCGGGATGGAATGAATAGAGAACAAACAGAGGGCACCTGGCAGGCATGAAAACAGCAAATGAGTAAAACTCATAGGAAACCAGAGTTTAGCACCAGGAAAGCAAGACCAAGAATCAAATCTGAGAGAGAAGAGCCATAAGCTGGAAAATGAGCTTTAAATTTGGAATCTGAGAAGATAAGGCCTAGGCCAGGAGGTGGGGTACAGGGTGAATTGAGGGGCAGTTCAAGGCCAAAGACATGAACAGCAAAAGGAGCCCCACATGTCTAGGCTGTCAGCTGAGGGGTGGACAGTCCAAGGGCTAAAAGTTTCCGGTCAGCACCCCACAGTGGCACAGAGCAGGGCCACCCCCACCAAGAGCAGGGCTACACTGGCACAGTAACTGGGATTTCAGAGCCCCCTCCTGCAGCTCGGGATGAGGGTTCATAATCCCTGGGGACACTCACAGGGGAGGCCCTGGAGTCTGTGGGGGAAGAGCAGGGATTACTGAGAGGTTCTAAGGTCATCGTGCGCACAGCTGCTGGCCTTGCAGGTGTTTCGGGGATGCCTGTGCTGGCCTTGGTGGGCATCCATGGAGGGGAGCCTCCACGGGACAGGGTGCAGTGCTGACCATTCTCCCCATGATACCTCCTTTGTCTTTCAGTATCACTTCAACCCCTCGCAGTCCATCCTGGTGATGGAAGGTGACGACATTGGGAGCATCAATCGCGCCCTCCAGAAGGTCTCCTACATCAACTCCAGGCAGTTCCCAACGGCGGGTGTGCGGCGCCTCAAAGTCTCTTCCAAAGTCCAGTGAGTGGTCACTGGGCAGCCTGGGGCCTAACCGAGCAGCAGGGCTGGACAGGGAACATTCCCTTGCAAAACACAGTTCACCTTTCCTCAGCTAGTCGCAGTTTCCCTGCAGTCCCTGTGAGGATTCCCCAGGGGATCTGTGTTGCCCTTTTGTTTTCTTCTTAAAGAAAATGTTCTATTGTCCTGCCAATTGAAATCCAGCTTTTTATAATTAGTCCTGAACTGAATTGAATGCATAGGAGGTACTGCTTCCTTTATATTCTCAGAGAGCTGGGTTGTAAGAGGTCTGATTTAAGGGCCGAGGGCCTGGGACATAGTAGATGCTTGATGAGTGTTTTTTAAACTGAATTAAATTAACCAACCCAGCTTTGTAGAGCTCCTAAATATGGTGATAAAGCAAGAGAAGAGAAGGCCCAGTACTCGTCCCTAGGGATTGGAGTTAAATTAAGGAGAGGAGACAATACTGAAGTCTGTAGAAACTCCGTTACAGTCCTATCAATCATTTATCAACCACAGCAGCTGCCTGGGTGAGCAGCTAGGAAGGGGACCTCAGGAAAACTCCGGCAAGGTAGAACAGGAGTCACCCAGCACATGAAGTCTGAAGAACCCAGAAAGACAGGGTCAGGGCTGGGAAAGATGGCCTGCCACCTGCTGGGGCCTGGGACAGGTGGCAGGGTAAAGCCCACAGGCAGCACCTGTATTCAACAGTTCTAGCAATGGAGGACTCACACACCTCCGCACAAGAGGCCACCCCTGGGGGCCTGGGATAGGGAGCAAGTACTTCCAGGTGAGCTCCGTCTCTCACTGAAGAAGAGGCACCAGACTGGGTAGTCCCTGCTCTGGTATCAAGCTTCTGTAAGCTGCCCTCTGGGGCTGGTGTGGCAAAGGCCAGAGAAAACTGGGAGCAGGAGCCCACCATGGCCCCCACATCTCACCCACTGAAAAGAGGATGGAGTGGCTCAGCATGGGGTCTGCCCCAACTGCCCTTCCCTCAGGGACTTCCCCAGGAATGCAAACTGATGGCTGCCACCACTGAGCCCACCCTCTGTGCCCAGAGCATCCGTCTGGGCCTGGGAGTTCTCTGCCATGGCCTGTGTCTTTGTGTCTTTGGCCTAGATGAGCAGCAGAGAGGGCCAATGCCATGTGTGCCTGATGAGGTCTGAGGAGTTGGTCAGATCCATCAGAGTTCACCAGCTCCAGCCATGCAGCGGCCCCTGAGCCAGCTTCTTTTCTAAATATGTCATCACATTTGACCCTCCTTACTGTAAGGTAATTCATTAATGCCATCCCCATTGCATAGATGAAGAAACTGAGGTTCACAGGGGTCAAGCACCTTGGCCAGAGTCAGCCGCCCTAGGAGCGGCAGTGACAGGCCGTGGGCTCCTGTCTAACTTCCCAGGCCTTGCTCTTGTTGTCACACTATTCCGCCTTCCAGATATTTTTGTGGGCGGTGTATCATGAAAAAGGAGTGTGGGTACAATAGCCCTCCACTGGTACAACTGGCCCCTGCATGTTAGTGTGATATCCTCCCAGAGAGATGACAGATGAGATGCAGCGAGAGTTTAGCCCTGGGGTCTCACTTAGTAAGATGGCTTTAACCAACTAGTTAGATGACAGTTTGCTTACTAAATCCTAATGCACATAGCAAGCAGTTGCTATTTAATTAATGGTTCCATTGATTACTTTGTTAAAGGATAATTTAAGGTTTAATGGTTACCAGTTGCTGATATAGAAAATTCCCATTTCTCCTAGGACTCAGTCTTCTTAAGCCCCTAGATTCCCTGGGTCCATAGCTCACGCTCTGTTTGTGAAAGGCGCAGGCAGAGAGCATGGCCAAGTGCCTGAGTTATCATCAGTACTTCTTAAACTTTGCTCTTATTGTTCTTAGAATAATCGTTATTATGCATGCTTCTGTAGTAAACCTAGATTGTTAGTAGTTTGGACTGCAGTGTGGCTTTAAGTGTGAATGTCTGTTGACATCTCCAGAGACTGTTAGGCAGTCAGGATGCCTGGCCAAGGACTAGAGGTGGTTGCGTATGTCCTTGTCCACGGCTGTGTGATGGATGGCTTCATCGCGTGCTCTTCAGTGCCGTGACTGCCGCTGTTTTCCCAGGTGCTTCGGGGAAGATGTGTGCATCACCATCCCTGACATGGACGCCTACGTGATGGTGCTGCAGGCCATCGAGCCCCAGATCACCCTCCGTGGCACCGACCGCTTCTGGAGACCGGCGGCCCAGTTTGGAAGTGCCAGAGGGGTGATTCTCTTCCCCGACATCAAGATTGTGAGCACCTTTGCCAAAGCCGAGGCCCCAGGTGGCTTGAGGACCACAGGTACAAGCTCATGCTGGCTTGCGGGACAGGGAGCCTTAAGTCCTCCCAGCCACTCAAATCGTACTTCAGGACAACAGTATCGTTACCATGGCAGGGTATTTATAATAGCAAAATAAACAAACCTGGAAAAAAGGCAGATAAATAAAAGAAGAATGGCTTAGAAAATTATGGTGCACCCACATAAGTGCTAGGATGTTAGGATGTTGGAGAGAAGGCATTTATGCTAAATGGTAAGTGAAAAAAGCAAGATGCAGATTACAGAGTATCTACACGCAGAGTGATGTCAACCATATAAAGATAAAAAGAAATACATAGAAAAACACAAGAAGGAAACACACCTAATGCTAACAGTGACATTCTCTAAAAAGCACGGTAAGAGCCAGTTTGTTTCTACACCCCTTCACTCTTCTGCAACTGCAAAATGTTCTGTAGTGAGCAGTTAATGTTTTGATAATCAGAAGAAACACAAAGAAAAAATAGAGCTGCATCTTCATATATACACAGAGGCAGCTCCTGTTCAGCTGTATTACTCGAAGATCTCAGGAAATACTCCCAGTGTTCTTTCCAACAGTTTAATTTTTGGGAAGGCTATTCAGTGAAAGGAGAGCAATTTGAATGATCTGCCAAAGAGAAACACTTCAGTTGCACTGAAATCTACCATATATTTTGCTGGGGGATGGGGTGGACATGGTTAAAAAAGGAAGGAAGGAGAACTTGGGCCCAGATCCACAGGGGAAATGCATATTGGACAACTGGCTTTGCCACCTCCTCCACAAGAATGCTTTCAACTCCCCCTCTCCCCTCCAAAAAGCCACTGCTAATGACCTGCTGGCATCAAGGGGCCTGAATCCCTAAAGGGCTGCTTCTGTAGTAAACCTAAGTAAGTATCCAGTGCCTTAAACCACCCTGGTCCCTAGTGAGTGGGGTGCCTCAAAAGGCAGCCCTCCTGAGCTTACAGAAATAGATGCTGTTTCAGCACCTGTCCTGACAAGGCAATTGCTTTCCTAGTTAGGTCTCAGGCTGCAGTAGGCCATGTGTTCTGCCTGCTCCCCCTCACCTGTAGCTTCGGTGCGACAGAAAAAGGAAGGGCCTGTGACCACAGTGGTCGCAGGCCTTTACAGCACCTGGATTTGCCAGGCCTGACACCAGCGTGCAGTCAATGCAGGGAAAAGCAATTCCCTGGGTCCATAGCTCACGCTCTGTTTGTGAAAGGCGCAGGCAGAGAGCACGGCCAAGTGCCTGAGTTATCATCAGTACTTCTTAAACTTTGCTCTTATTGTTCTTAGAATAATCGTTATTATGCATGCCTTAAACATGCAAGCCAATGGCATTTGCCACCAGGCCTCAGTGACCTGCTCCAGCATCACCTTCTGCTTCCACTGACCAATTCTTTATACCAAACACAGGAGGGTCCCTCATGCACACCCCTCTCTCTCACACCTCTGTGTTAGTTCACACCTTTGCTGAGGCCCTATGTTCTGCCTGGAAGATTGCTCCCCCCTCATCCCGCTATTGCTGGCAAACATCTCTACCTTTAAGACCCCCTCCAAAAGGTTTCCCCACCACCACCATCCTGACCCCTGGACTGGGTTAGGGCCTCCTGCTCTGTACACCCCCACCGCTGGTGCTTCCCTCTAACACACCACATTTGCTAGCCCACTGTGGTGATTACCTGTTTGTTAAGCCAGACTGGAGCCCCTTAAGCACCATGGCTAATCCACTTCTAAGTCCCTGAGCCCAGCACAGTCCCTTCTGCACAGTGGGACTAAAGAGAACTAGAGATGGAAAATACTACCCTGCATGCAAGCACAAGAGGACAGTGAGAAAATGGCAGTGACAGCATGGTCCTCCCTGGAATGAGCCATCGGGCAGCCACATTAGGAGATAGGAGAGGACAGTGCAACCTGACCTGACAGGAAGCTGACCAAGAAACCCAGAACCCTGAGAACTCCACCTGAAATTGAAATACACTATCGTTAATGATAGGCCTTAGGTGTACATTAATGTGCTTTTAGATTTTGCCAATGATACATGAAGCCATTGAGCCTCACAAGCACTTAAAAATTAAGCATATGAAATTATTTATGATACATATCTAGTGAGAGCAGAAAAATATTTTTGGTATCACTACAAAATCAAAATATAAAATAATTATTTCAAATAATTTTCTCATCTTTAGTGAATCCTTTTTAATTTCTATTTTCATAAATGTTTTATAATGCACAAAATATATTAGTCCACTTTATAAATAAATAAATAAATTTATTTAAATATACTCAGTTCACAAATTTTGCAATAAAAGGCTGTAAGAGCAAAAACATTTGAAGACTACTGGCCCAGAGGCTGAGACCTCAGACACTGTGGAGTCAGAAAGTCATGCTTTGTGTCCTGGCTCTTCTGCTCTCTGTGCAACCCTGGGCAATCTGCCCCACCCCTTGGACCTTCCATTTCTCCATCAGTGAAATGGGGCTGAAAGTAATGATACCCTTTTAATATCTATTGTTAGGATTTTATTTGCACAGTGCCTGACACACAGCAAGCAGTTCACAAATCCCAGTCACTTTTATTATAAAGTGAGATTTTTTCAGTTAGAACTGCCAACCTATGCAGCTTTCAAATACTCAAGACATCCCTTGGGGAAACTTGGGTTCATCAAATCAGACAAGGACAGCTAGATTGACCAATAGACTAACCAATATACCTAATTATTTAATTACATTAACCACACAGCTCATTTTGAGCAATGTGTGGTAATGCTGCTCCACACCAGCCCCTGGGGTAGATACTGAGCAGTCATAAAGAGACGGTGCTTCTGCCCTGAGAACGTCAGAGTCTGCTGGGCCAATGGATGCACACGCCATGGGCACTTGGGGGAATCTGGGAGGGCATGACAGCGGGCACTTATCTCGGGCCCCAAAGGAGAACTGTTGCTTACTAAGCCCCTGCTAGGTGCCAGACACTGTTTTTCATCCCCTCAAGACCCTTGGCCTCTTTACAGATGAGAAAATTGAGGAGTAGGCAGCTTCTCTAACACAGCACAACTTCCCAGTAGCATATCTTTTGACTACCATATTCATGCTCTTCACCCTCGGGCCTGTCTGAACACCCGTCTGAGCAGCACAGGTGGGATCTGGGGCAGCACAGCCCCTTCCCCTGCCCAGCCTGCCCCAGGGGCCAGCACACGGGAGGAAGATGGTGCCCAGGGGCTGCTGTCTGAGTCACCGGCACACCCACGGTCCCCACGTGTCTGTCTTCCCATAGGCCCCAAATCGGCAGTCATAGAAGAAATGCTTCACAACTTAGATTTCTGTGACATTTTGGTGCTTGGAGGGGACTTGGACCCCAGGCAAGAGTGCCTGGAGCTCACCCACAGCGAGCTCCACCAGCGGCACCTGGAGGCCACCAACTCCACTGCAGGCTACTCCATCTACGGTAAGGCCGCACGCGGGGTCCCCTCGGAGGAGGGATGGCCATCGCCTGTGGAGGTTGGGGGGTGCAAGCCATCGGCCTGGGCATGCGGACTCCCAGCCTCTCCTTTGGTGAGCTGCCCAGCATCTTGGGAACCAGGCCCACATCCCCCTCCTGGGGAAACACTCTGTAGAAACTAGGGGGATGCCTTCTCTTGTAATGTTTGATCTCTGCAAATATTATAGCAGCATTCGGCAGATTGAGGCCAAACTCTCTGGTCAGAGCCCAATCTACTTGGAAATCCTGTGGATCAGCATAATTGGCTCCCTAGGACCTCTGTGCCTGTACATAGCCTACCCCTGACCATCTCAAGCTCTCACCATGGACTAATTCAGGGGCCCGCAAGCCACAGCAGCCATAGCCTGTTTCCCTCACCTTCTCTTCTGCCTTAAGACAGGTGTGGTCTCTTGGCACAGGTGTGGGCTCCATGAGCCGCTACGAGCAGGTGCTCCGTCACATCCGCTACCGCAACTGGCGCCCGGCTTCCCTGGAGGCCCGGCGATTCAGGATCAAGTGCTCGGAACTCAATGGGCGCTACACCAGCAATGAGTTCAACCTGGAGGTGAGTTTGAGTCCTGCCGTTGTGCAGACGCCCAGACTTCTGGTTCCCTCATCGACTTGGGCCCCTGCCACGCAAGGTCAGCCGCACCTCTCCCTGCTCTTCCCAGGTCAGCGTCCTCCACGAGGTCAGAGTCCCAGACGAGGAGCATGTCAACCATCTGATCGTGCAGCCTCCCTTCCTCCAGTCCGTCCACCACCCTGAGTCCCGGAGTAGCATCCAGCACAGTTCAGGTAGGTCATCTGGGAGGAGGGAACCCGGGATACCAGATGGTCACAGTCATTCAAGACTGTCCCCCCAGCAGTCATGGAGCACCTGGCACTGGCAGAACGACCAAGCAGGGGGAAGCTGTGGGCCCTGCCCCTAAGGTACTCACAGGGAGCCAGTCAGGTAAACAAGAAGTGACACACAATAGATTATAACAGGCATTAGTGCAAAGGGCTAGAGTAAAATTTGGCAAGTCCTTTTAGGCCCAACTCAAAGCCACATCCCGTATGAGGCATCGCGGGGGCCCTTGTGCACAATCACATACATACCTGTGCACACCACATGGAAAAGTCCCCTGCCCTTACTGCTGCTCCAGCACTTGCCATATTGTATTGCTGCCTGGTGGGCCCTGTGTCTGTCCCTGCTGAACATCACAGTGCCTGGTTCTCAGTGGAAGCTGCCCTAGAACTAGGAGGAAAAAGCAAGAAATAGAAGAGAACTTGGATTTATTAAGTGTGGACCATGTGCCCATGTGGAGATTCACATAGATTATTTTGGTTATGCTCACAACTACCCCTGGGGTAGGGGTTATTAAGTCTACTCTACAGGTGGCAAAAATGAAGCCCAGGGTAAGGTGCTCACCCAAAGCCCTACAGCTGAGAAGTGGTAGGGCAGATTTTAATCTACATGTGGATGCATCATTCATGTTCCTTCCAAAACCAAGTGAGTCCTTTGTTCACCATGTCATGGATTGCTTCCTCCTTCCAGCGGTCCCGAGCATCGCCGCAGTGGCCGTCGCCATCTCCCTGTGCATACTAATGTTTGTTGTGGCCATGGGCGTGTACCGGATCCGGATCGCCCACCAGCGCTTCACCCAGGAGACCGAGGCTGCCAAGGAGGCTGAGATGGATTGGGATGACTCCGCACTCACCATCACAGTCAACCCCATGGAGGTGATCCTTATGCAGGGGTGGGGGGTGCTGGGGCATGGAACCTCCCTCCCATCCAGCTCCATCTCTTCCTGTGCCAGAAGCCCTGCCCTGCCGGCCCAAGCCCACTGACCTTTCCTTCTCTGAGCCCCTGCCGCCCTCTCAACCTGAATGGGCCAGGTTTTCCCACCAACTGTACTCACGGATTCAAAACATGTGAATTGCTCTCACCCTACAAACAGAACCAGACATTTCTCAAGGCAAGCAGCCATGTGGTGTCTATATCTTGCCTCCCCCATAGTATTCAGCTCAGAACTGACTAACATTGAGGGACTCAGTATTGAATTTTTGATTAACTAACAGTGTAAATAAGATGGCTTTGCTCCATCCTGCCTGCCAAGCTCACTCAAAGGCTCAGAATAGGTTAAGACAAAAATACAGCAGTAACACCTGCCATTTGTTGATCCCCCATCAGGCCAGACACTGCACAGGGTGTTCTGTATGCACCACCTCCTGTAACCTTCCTGACAACCCGTGGTGTAGATGGCATCATCCTTCTTTACGAAGGTGGCTACCTACTTGGGGCAAAAAGCAGAAGCGCTCAAACTTGTGTAGCTAGTAATGGAAGTGTTGATAGTCAAACACAAGATCTCCAGATTCTAAAGTTCTTATCTTTCCAGTTACCCAGCAACCCCCAGAATCTACCCATGAGTGTTGAAGGCCCCTGCTCTGGGCATCTGAGTATCTAGGGGGAGGCACTCACATCATGCCTTTGGCCTACCCATGTCGAGGCAGAAGTAGGAAGTCAGGGGAAGATCAGGAAGAGTCAGTGAGAAATGAAAAGATTATCCAGCCTCTCCCTGGTTCCCCCTCAGCTGGCCTCATGCTCCAGTTTGAAAGCCAGAGTGCCCACGCAGCTCAGCTTCCCCCAGCACGTGCCATCGGTAAAGTGAGCACACTACTATGGGGACTCAGCATTTCTATCCCAAGTTGCTGAGCCTTGCTTGTTGGAAACAAGCTGCTGTGCCTGGAGCCAGCTGAGAAACCGGCCAGAGTGTGTCGTCCAAGGATTCACCCGGTGAGGCCAGCAGTCAGTGAAGCAAGAGCAGGAGGGTCCCTGGGGCTGGGACGCTCAGGGAAGAGTTCCTGGAGGTCAGCCTACGGGAGACCTTGGGGCAGGGAGAGGTGCGGCAAAGGCAGAGGATGAGCCGCTCCGGACAGGAGATGCAGCCAAGCAAGGCACACATGTTTTATGGCTGCTTCATCCACTCAAAACATAGATGCAGAAGAAAGATTTGGCTGGAGTCAACCAAAAGCTGGAGGGTGGGGGTGGAACTGGAAATGAGTTGGGTAGAGTTTGAAGCTCAGAGGGTGAGAACAGGCATGGTAAATAAGGACCACGGACTTTGTCCTTCCCAGAGGAGTATTTTCAAGGGGCAGCACACCTGAGTCTTGATTTAGAAGCCCTACTCCCAGAAACATCATATTCTCAGCTGCAGAAGAGGTGTAAGCTTGATGCCATTCTCTCACTGAGAAGCAAGCACCTAAGGCAAAGAAATTTCCATGGAGATAGGCTCCAGAAATGCCAGAAAACAAACCTCAGGCCAAAAGGCTTATCAGATGGTGGAAGGGATTGGCTTAAATGCCCAATGTTTAGTACACACAACTTACCTTGAACCCATGTCCTGGAACTCGCTGCCCTTTGTCCTTACCCTCTGCTTTGCCTTTCACTAGGCCCTGCCTTCCAGTAAGCCTGTCTCCAGGCCCAAGGGTTGAGCATTAAAGGAAAGGAGTTCCAAGGGACCCAAAATGTTTCCTTAGTGGTGGGATAAACATAATATCCAAGGTGGCCTTTGCCTAGCCCCTGACGAGCGTTTCTCCCCCTGACATCCAGAAACATGGAGCGCCAGGGTGTGGGGAAGACGAGACTGAGGAAGAGGACGAGGACATGGAGGAGGACATCAGCGCCAGCAGCAGTGACTCAGATGACAGTGAAGAGGACGAAGAGGAGGAGGGGATGGGCAGGGGCAGACATGGGCAGAGTGCGGCCAGGCAAGCCCAGCTGGAGTGGGACGACTCCACCCTTTCCTACTAGTGCCCTGCTGTCTGTGCCCTCCCACGGGTCCCTTTTGTAAGCCCACCCCGATATATGCCTGAGTCTATCACATGTCGCCTCTGATTTCTATGACCGGTCTGGGCAGACCTTCCCAGTCTCCAGGAACCCACCCTCTGCACCTTGGGGCACCCTGTGTCCCAGCTCTGGGGTGGTTCAAGAAGCCCAGCGCCATCATCAGTGGGGACATTAGGGTGACCTTTGTCCTGTAGCCCCCACTTCTCCTGCCCTGGACTCACCCAGCATCCTGCCGGCCAAGCTGCAGTCTTGCCTCTGCTCTTCTGCTCTTTGCAAAGGAGAAGGTCTGCCTTTACATCACTCACCCTGCCTCAGCTCCGCATTCCCAGGGCCCTGGGTTCCAACTTGCTGTGTGACCCTGACTTAGTCCTCCCCACACAGACCAGCAGGTTCTTCTCACCTAACTGTCCAGGTGGCTTCATACAGGCAAGGTAGCCAGACTGCACACACCGAAGGTCTTAGCCCTTAACACTGTAAAGCAAACTCTTTGTTGAGGCAGAATTCAACTTACAGGGAAAGATTTGCCCACGTATACACGCACGCACACATACACACTCTCTCCCAGTTTGGAGAGCCTCTTCCTTTGTCCTTTCGGAGGCCATATCAAGCTTAGATGAAAAGTCCGATACCAAGAATAGGTCCTTAGCCTCAGCAGGGCCTGGTCCCAAGCCAAAGCTGAGAGCCCGCCTGCCTTGAGACCCACGTGGCTGCCCTGCTGGGCCCTCCCACCACACGACCCCACAGGGACCAGGAGGCCCTCCCACACAGGCACTGCTCCAGGGGACAGTGGTGACAGCATGAAGCCAGGGGTCCAAAGGAAGGGCTGATGAGATGGCCCAGCTATGCTTCATGGCCGGCACAAGTCTGCAGATGGGGGCGGCTGGGCTCCTCCAGGCTGGAGGGGGCCTGAGGCTGACTCTCCCCACCTGTCTTATGGCCCCCCGGCCCCTATTTCACACTGTTCTGCCTCTTCAGAACACACATTCCTCTCGGATGTACTAGAGCAAGCGTGAACTGCACCAAGTCTAAAATGAAAGTCTGGAGATTTAGCTTCTAGGAATTGGAATCATATTTGTGATAACAGCTTCTTCTCACAAAAGGAGCAATGCTTTGGGTGGAGGGCAAATACATCCAAAAACCTAATTTTTTTCTTTCTTCTTTTTTTTTATAAGGAAATCTTTTCCATCTCTGTCCTAACATGAACACCTCTTGTAGAGAATTGTTGCTATAGTAACTGATCTGTGATCTTTTGTGGCCAAGAGAATAGCAGGCAAGAATTAGGGCCATTGTAGGACTTCCTCGAGGCCCTGAGAAAGTCTTTGTTTTGAATGTCTCAAGCTTTGTCCTCAGTATGTACTATCTGTCCCCATCTTCCCACTCTCCCACAGCCCGTCCCATATTGGCTTGGTTGCCGCTAGTCTCAGGGGCATGCAGGTCAAAGGAAAGTCGAGAATCTGCTCATTCTACTCACTGTGTCCTCAAAACAGGGAGCACTTAAAAAAGGGGGCACCACCGCCAGTGTCCTCTAGTCTGACCTCCACCCTGTGAGGATCCATGACAGGCCTTTGCAACCTTCTGATTCAAGAATAGGACCTTATGCAACTTTTTCCATTGCCCAATGTGTTTTTTGCATGTGTTCCTACCTTTGAGCCTCACAGTAATTCTGTGGGGGAGTTGGGACATCTGTTGTCAGACACATTTTCATTATGAGTAAACTGAGGCTCAGACCTTCAGCATCCTGCTAAGAGTCACTCAGAGGTGTAGACCAGACCAAATGCCTTCCACCTGGTCCAGTGCCCGCCACCCTGATTCTCCGTGTGTTCAGACTGGTGCAGCTGTCAGGCATTGCTGAGGATCTACTGTGTGGAGAGCCCTTGACCAGCAGCTGTGGAAAAGGGAAGAAGCTGAGTAAGATGGGCTCCTTCCCCAGAGGACTGGCTGGTTGCAGGCAGGAACCAGACGGGCATAGGAAGTATACAGTGGACAGATGCAGAGCAAGGGGGAGACAGGAAGGAGGACACGTTTGCAAATCAACCAGCGCTCTTATTTTTCCTATTTTTAGGGAAAACCACTGACAGAAGTTTGGAGTTTTATATTCATTGGATGGAAGTAGACATTTCTGTGAATTCTCCCAACCAAAAATGAGCCCTTTTCTCTCAGGCTGTGTCTGCACACCAACAAGGAGAAAATCTGTAGGATTGCTTAGTCCTCCCAATCCCCTCAGTTAAATAAAAAGAGAGTCTCAGGTTGGGCATTTGGGGCTAACAGAATTCTCCCCAAATTGTGGCAGTAATGTGAATACTTGACATGTCTAAAACCAATTCTTTTTGAATTGGATTTGGATTTAAAGTATTTAAGTCACTTGTTCATGAGAGCACTTTGCTCAGTCTTTCGGTTTGGCTGGGGTGGGAAGGTGTTCCTTACATCCTCTGGCTGTCTCTGACGGCTGCATCCATTATCATGACTGAGGGAGCTGTTTGGGGCGAGTGAAATCTCTATACTTTTGCAGGGTTTTACGAGGCAGGAGCAGGTAAAAACAGCTCTTGGCAAGAGCCACAGAGTTGAATCATGTGTGACTGGACTCATGCAGAGAAACAATGCGGGCAGCAATTCAGGGCCCTTTCCATCCACTCCTGTCAGGGGAGGTCATGCTCTGCATCAGTGACAAAGATGAGGCACTTGAAATGATGCTACTAGGTCAGGGGGCATTTATCATATTCCCAGTGCCCTACTCATCACCCTGGGTGAGAACAAGAAGGGATAGTCATATAAAAGTCACAGAAGTTTCAGAGAATAGCCACTTGAGTGGTGAATAATGTAACTCGCCATCCGCCAGATATTCCAACCACAAGAGAAGAATGTCATGAACCAGCCCAGCGTTTTCAGGCTTCATACACTGGCATTCAGAGACCTAAACTCCAGGTGGCCCAGACACCCTGTTGCCTCTCACCCAGATGTCAGCAGCAGCAGATACAGGCTCAGACCCCAAGCAACAGCTGACCAGTTTAGCCCCGGGCCAAAGCATTGATTGTATTTCCAAGAGTATGACCAGCTTCTTCTCTGGAGTTGGAAAATAGATGGGCTGAAACGTCTCAGTGACTCAGGTGCCAAGGGGAAGAGGAACAAGGTGAGAGGAAAAATCGAATACAGAATGAGTTACCCTAATGGAACAAAGCAACCAACTAGTTGGTCTCCTAGCTTAGAGAATACTAAAAGTATATTCTAGCTGGTTTAATCAAATGCTATAAATCTGACAAAGGCCCAAATTCATCTAAATAACAAAAATGTGGTTGCAGGGGTTATCTCATTTCATTGTCACTTTCTTGAATGTGCTAGGTCATCCTAGTGGGCAGGGTTTAGACCACACTTCTGTGCATGAAGCAAGGGCTGTACCTTGCGGACATGGACACTCCAGGCAGAGGGACGCTGGAGGGAAGCAGTCCTCCATGTCTATACATATGGCAGAGGTCAGCAAGCTTTATCTATAAAGAGCCAAATAGTAAATATTTGGGGTTTTGCAGGCCATGTGGTCACTGTTTCAAGTATTAACTCTGCCATTATAACATGAAACCAGTCACAGACAATATGCAAACAAGTGGATATAGCTATGTTCCAAAAAGACTTTATGAATGCTAAAGTAGCAAGCAATTTTAATTCATATTATTTTCACATGTCATGAAATTTTATTACTCTTTTGATTTTTATTTTCAACCATTTAAAAATGGAAAAACCTGACTGAGTCCGTAGGCCATACAAAAACAAGCAGCTGGACAGATTTGGCCCATGGGCTGTAGTGTGCACCCGCCTACGACACATGCACAAAAAGCAACCCTCCATTTGCCAAGGGCAGCAAATTGCTAACTTAGAGCCCCCCTTCAACTCGCCAGTGGTCTTTGTCTCCAAAATGAACAACTCCACAGTCCTTAATTAAGCTGTTTTAAATGTCCGTGTTCCAGGGGTGAAATGAAAACAGAAAACAAAAAGCATTTGTTCTTGGTCAAATTGACACAAACGCAGGCAAGCATTCCTCAACAGCTGCAAGCCCTGGGTCCAGGTACAGGCTGTCCACTGAAAGCTACCCCCGTAGAGCTAAGGGCTCACTCCCAGGCACAGCACCCTCTCCGCATGACTCAGCCCGTGATCATTTCTAAGCAGAAGTGTTCATTATCTCAGAGTGATTTCCATTTCAGCCCTGCTCCTTACCACCGCTCTAAAAATGATCCTAAAGACTTCTGACTATTTGAATCAATAACACCATGATCAGCAGAAAGCCCTACCCAGCGTACTTCAAAGTTAGCAGTCTTCTTGGCTCTATGATTCAATAATACCAAGAGGGAGAAAAAGAGGACTTCTTAATCATCTCCTCATTTAAATTAACCAAATCAGTTTTATACAGAAGTGAAGGAGTCTAACACTTTGAAAGAATTTGCCAGTAAAAAGTAGATAATTTTCAGGGACGAAAACCTCATTCTCAGACCTTTGGGGATCCCCCAAGCCTCCTGCAAGATACTCTGGCAGGCTTCGGATGGTAAAGGAGGCTCTATATCCATCAGATATTTATTGAAGCTGACAAGCCAAAGCCCTTGGCACAATTTAATTTTCATGTTATCACTTTCCATTGTCCAGTGATAGACAAAGGAAATGAGCAGAGAAAGTTTTGAGGTCTACTCCAGCACCTTCATTTCCCTGCCTTGACTGGCTTTACCCTGGAAATGAATTCTGTACCTGCTTTAGAGCTCCTGCTCTAGTTTTCCCACTGGTGCCAAGTGTAAAGGAAAGCAGGCTTTATAAGGGCTGTGAATTAGAAGCCAAATTTGACTCTATCCCAAGGAGACCAAAAGAGACAGAAGTTACCACCAGCACCCCAGAAAGCAATCAGATGTCCCCTGTATGCCATTAGCAAACAGATGGGATTATGTATTTGCCGTTCTGTTCAATGCAGCTCAGCAGATTCTTACTGAGGGCCGTGGTGTGCAAGGTGCTGTGCCAGGAACAGAGAGGATGAATGAGGTGCGGCCCTGCCCATGGGGACTTGTTCTCAGGAGCTGTCGGGTTGTTGCCTGCGCAGCACTGAGGGCTGTCTGAGAGCAGTTAGGACGGAAGTGTGGGGCTGGGAGAGGCGAGTGACTTGCTTGGGCAGCTCTCTACCCTACAGTAGATGGTAGGTGTAATTCTGGGAGCCCTGAGGCCAGCTGAGAAGCTCTCTAGGAAAGTAGGCAATGCTTCCTTCAATGTCTCTAATTCTACCCCAGCCTGACTCATTTATGGATGAAAAAGCCCACCAGGGGGATATCACGTGACTAATGGCTGCGATTCAGTGAAACTCGGCCAAAGGAAGTTTGTAGGTATGAATGGCAGGCAGACCTCAAATACAGCAACCCAGGTACAGGGCTGGTGAGCCAAGGCCCAAGGGCGGGAAAAGCCCGTGGAGGAAACACCTGTGAGGCCATAAGTAAGGGTTGAACGGGGAAGGAGGCTCTGACTGTGGGAGACCTGCTACGGGTTCACATGACACTGTGGAGCAGAAGCTCTCAAGGTGCACCCCCAGACCAGAGCATTTGCATCACCTGGGAACAGAAAGAAATGCAGATTCTCAGGCCCCACTCACTGCTCACTCAGAACTTTGGGAGTGGGGCCCGGCTGTCCGTACTTTAACCAGCCCTCTGCTGCTGATGCACACAGAACGGAGAGGATGAGGAGAATGACTTTCACTGGCATTGGGAGGAAATGACCCTAACAAGATCAAGTAATCAGGTACTAATGTAGTGATGATAGGAGCCACAGCAGACGGCCCCACCCACCCTTAAGGCTCCAATACCTGCTCCCTGAGGCTGTGGTTTCAGGGAGCCCTGGTCCTAGTCCCAGTTCCACTCCTCTCATGAGCCGCTTTCTGCCAGTGTGGCCCCATTCATCCTAGAGAGACTCAGACTAATAGATGCTGTAGTGAGGCCACCCACCCCTAAGAAGGCTGCCTTCCAGGTCCCTGGATGCTAAGCAGTCTCCTCAAAGGCCCAAATTCTGGGGGAAGCAATGACACTGCAGTGGTGGCCCTGCATCACCAGGATAACTGGCCTCTCCCCAGTCTCTATGCTGGGGAGCCTCCAGGGCCCAGCAGAGAGAGGAGTGGGGGCACTGAAGGACACTGCCAGGTCGCTGAAGCACTGCCCCATCTGGAGGCATGCCACACTGCAATCCCCTCACCTGGATGGCAAATGAATGGCTTTTCCTGCAAGGACAGTGACTCATTCTGGATGTCACTGAAAGTAGAAAACAAAACCAGAAGCAAACCAGCAGCATTCTCCACAGACAGAATCTGTTTTCGCCTTCAGCTATCTAAGTCCTATTAAGATGACAGGTCCACCAGTGCCCTTTCTCCACCACCTCCCTGAGGGCCTGAGGTCAGCCAATTACTGATTTTGTTTTTTGATTCATGGTCTGAATTCCGTGAAGGTGCACAAAGCTTTGGGAGGACCAGGTGGAGTTCTATCAGTCATCGACACCTAACTATGGTGCAGAACCTGTCCTCATATGAGGATTTCTGAGATGGGGGCTAAGAGGGCCAGGATGCTGGTCCTTGGGGCAGAAGGACAAAGCAGGAAAGAGCTGGGAGGGGGCTCAGACACATGGCCTTGGGGACATAGCACCTGCTGTTTAGTTCCTAAGAACCCCAATTCTCTCTTGACCAGACACATCCCTGGTCTTCCCAGCAGCGTCCTCACTGAGCCCTCCCAAATGCCCACAAGGATACCTCTGTTTCTCCAGCCCAGTTTGTAAAAAGGTCTTCTGATTAAATACCCAACCAATCTCCTGGGACAGCGGAGACCATATCGAGAATAACAGATTAGAATATGCTAAAAAGAACCAACAGCACTTGCCAGTTGTTTGCCAGAGAGAATGAGGAAAACCAGACCCAGGAGGGAAGGTGAAGTGCTTTCTTCATGTCGCTTAGAGCCCGAGGGGTTTTTCTTTATTTCTCTCCCAAAACCTTAAGGCAATTTTATGTGTTTCCCTGAAGTCAGCCACCTATTACGAAGCACCCTGGGAGACAAAAGGACTGGGTTTTGTGTTCTACTTTCAGAAATGGGATGGCAGGAGGTGGACAGAGAGGCCTTGGGTCGCTCTGGAAACAGGATGGGCTCTGTTCTCACAGGCAGGCCTGGACCCGTGTCCATTCAGGCAGGACAGGGGGACACTATAGTCTGAGCATCAGGAGCTCAGATGCAGTCAGGACACCAGGTAGGGTGAGTGAGTAGGGAGGGGGTGTTCACTGGAAGGCTGGGCACAGATGAGACATACAACGGGTGCCACTGTGCAAGCCATACCGGCCATTTACTTTCCTCAGAAACAATGGAGAGAACCATGTCCCAGCCCCAGCCAGTTCCCCCATTCTGAGGAGCAGAGAAGAGCTGGTAGCTCTGACCACTGAGGGGACATCTCCAGGGTTAGAATCCTACTCCATGAGAACTGTCAGTTAAATGAAACGGAGCCACTACCCTCCGTTCCCAGGTCTCTGATGGGGTACCTGACTGGGACCCTGGAAAACATGGCTGTGCGAGGCTGCTATGGCTCCTCAACCCTGCCTCCTGCCATCACAGTCCCTTCTCAGGGCCAGAACAGTCACTTACCCAGCACAGCACCTTGGGTGTTGAGCACAGCCCACAATAACTTGTGAATCAAAAGGAAGACCAGAGATCACTTGACCTCAGTGAATGGACTGGGTTTGGAAAAATTAAAATGCTCCAACAGAGAAAGATTCACCCATCTTTTCCCTTATTATCTAAGTCTAGATCCTTCATAACATCAGTTCAGGTGGGAATGGAAGTGCCATGGAGGAAGGCTGCCCAAATGGAAAAAGAGCAGGAGCAGTGCTGTGGGGAGAGTGACCCCTCCAAGTCTGTAACCAGGGAAAGAAGCCCCTAGCCTGGGGTAGGGTGGATGCACCTGGATGAGCCCTCTTGCTCTGATCGATAGGTCCTGGGCAACATCGCAATCGAGCAAGGAAGCCCCAGTCTGTTAGTGACCCCAGCCCTGTGCTGCTCTGCTGTCCCTTTTATCAGATGCACTACAGAGGAGATTCATCAAGATGAAGCTCAATTCGCAATAGACTAAAGAAAGGAGAACAATAGACGTGAGGAGAGGCAAAATGCAGACAGGTGTATTAATCACAGGCAACGGAAACATGTCAGCTTTAATGTCTGTTTGCTTTTATCTGAAAATGAAAATGCATCTCTACTGCCCAGACTGTTTTTTCTGAGCCTTTCAAAACTGACCTACGCACAAAGCTGACCTACGCACACGCACACATTGAGGGTTTTCTTCCTCAGCAGAAAGAGCTATCAGAGAAAGGAGCTCACAGATTGTGTCTAGATGCAGAAGCAGAGGATCAACCACAAGTCTGAGCACCGACTCCAGCCCCTTGTGGAAACAGGAGAGGAAGGGTCGGGGGCACCTGCTCTCGGGAAGGGTTTATGAGGGCCTTTATGGGGAGGGGCTCCCCTTGTGCCTGTGGGTCACAAATCTGAATCTAGCGTGCACCTCCACCCATGCTGATCAGTGTGGACCACCCCTCCCTGCCTGGCTCCCTCACGCGGCTGCAAAGGAGCACTGACGCGCGGGGTGCCGGAGAAGCCAGGCTTGCCTTTGCTGGGGAACTTCAAGGGGTGCGAATACAGCAAAAGCTCTTTGGAGGAGGAATGGTAGACTTGATACCCGGGGCTGATCACTCAAAAAGCAAGAAAAGAGAGATTGAGGGGAAAGGTGACTCAGAGCTGGAGAGGGAACAGGTGAGGCTGGGTAGGAATGAGCAGTAGGAACACCCAGCACCCAGGAAGCCAGAGCACGCCTCTGTATTGAAAGCTGTATCCAAGTGCCAGCAAGCTTTGAGGAAGTCTGGCCATATGACCACAGAGGCAGTCACATCAATGCTTCCAATGTCAGAGCCATTTGAAGGGGGTCTCTGTGCTTAACTGAACTCGTCATGATGGATCAATCCACCTGAATGCTTCCAGCCTGACTCCGGTGGCTTCCAAAAAAGGCTGTTGATGCCCTAAGCTGAACAGGCTTGGAAAGAAATTAGAGAAAACAAGTTGGTGAGTTTAGAAAAGAAATTGCTTGTAGAGTTGGTTGTTTTCAAAGAAATCTGTAGGGTGTGTTATGTTATTGGCATGAACATTATAATGTCATTAAGGTAAGATTCAGAATGACTGGAGGGGTGGGGCATTTTGGCTTGGAAAGTTAGTTTGTATTAAATATAAATTATAAGAGATAACTAGACTAGGAACAGCTAAATATACATGCATTGTGTGCATTTATATAATACAGAAATAAAGCTATTGAATGAAGATGTCAATGATCCCAACACATTTTAAATTCTTTAGAAACTCTGGTTTGGGTGTTACACTTTTTCTTGTTGTTTACTTTTAGTTCCCAGGCACTGGGAATAGTGCCTGGCCCATAGTAGGAGTTTGGTAAGCATTTGGAAATCAAAGATCCAACTAACACTCAGTAGTATCACTATACCCCAAATTAAGTGAGCCACAGAGAAGTAAGTTGGCCACATTCCCCTCCTAGAGCATCACAGCCTGTCTGAGCAGAAGCCCTAGTGAATTCACAGATTCGGAGCCATGTTCAGCCAGCTGCAGGCACTGGGTCTGGCTGCCTGGTAGTGAGCGGTGACAAGATGTTACACACAGTGGGTTTGTGTCACTTAGACCACATCTGCCTAATACCTAATGCTCTTTCTACAGGAAAAGGGCTGGGGGCTCCCCTCCTATTGCCTCTGCCATTTCCTAAACACTTGGTGAATTGTTGTTGAATTTTTCCAACTTCAGGCACAATTCTGGAACTAAATGTAAAGGCTCCACCAGGCCAAAAGTTTGAGCGATTTCTTCTCTCAATCCTTCTCTTCCCTGTATCTGGAGATGCCGCCTCCAGTGGAGGGTCAGTGTGAACCTGACACACAGGCTTCGGAGCTCTTCCAACTGCCTCAAAAAATGGATCCTTTTAGTCCAGAAATGTGTTTATTTGCTATATACTATTGTGTGTGAGTGTGATACAATGCAAACTTTGGACTTTCTTGCTAAAAGGACTGTGTGCACTTATAGAATTTAATTTCTGGAGAGCACATTGTCATCTTGCTCAATGAACAAGCCTCTCCAGTCACAGAGGATCAGAGAAAATGCCCTTTCCCTCCCCACGCCTTCTCCCAGCACCCCTCCCCTGCCTAACTGCGCAGTCCTACCCACTCCAGGCCACACGGGGGGAGGGGCACTGAGAATCTGTATGTATATAACGATATAGGAAGAAAATAAGAACCACCATGGGAATCTGTTGAGCTTCTTCCTAAGACTGTGATCTTACCCAGGTCTGAATCACAAACTTTAAATTTCTAACAATTAAGATTCTTGCAGTTTCCAAGTAATTTGTTAAATGCCTATTCCACACAAACAGATACTTATTTTCAGCCTTGGCTTGTAAATGCCTACAAACTGATTCATGTTGGTAGTCACAATGACACTTTCTGTGAATTGGTGAATAAATATGATTTTAGAGTTTCACAGTAAAGATGACCTCTGAGAGTTTCTGTTCTTCAGACTATTTGATGAGATGAGATGCTGAGACCTGCCTTAGCTGGGCCAACATTCTCCAGGTCTTTGTCCTAAATCCACGTGTGGGCAAGAGTAGTGTAGGATGTGAGCGGTGGTGACATGGTAAATGGAACCCCATCAGACCTCTTCAAGGCGCCCTATTGCATGGTACTCAGCAGCACTGCCGCTGGAGACCTACCTATACAAAGACAGTCCCAATGCATTTCGTGAGCACCTACAAAGCACCAGAGCTCTGTGCCTGCGGTCTGCATTGACTCTTACAGCAGGTAGTTCTTACTGTCAACGCGAAGACACTGAGACCCAGAGGAGCCGGGGGCCTTGCCAGAGGGGTCATGGCTCTGAGCACAGATCCATCTCTCTCCTAGCCTGTCCCTTTCCGCTCGTCCATGCTGACCTTCCCTTACACCCAGCAGCCACCCAGGGCCCCCTCACCCCTGAAGCCCACTGAAGACAGGCTCCCTCTCCATCCGAAGCCAGTGGGGACCCAGAGTGCTCCCCCAGGTTTCTGTGAGTTACAGTTTCAGCAGCCTCTTCCTCCTGTTTCATATTAGTCATACCCAGGGATAAACCGTACACATTAGTTCCAGAGGAAAGAGGGGAAAATCAAAGCAAAGTTTTTCTTGGAAGCATTGGGGCCATGGAGAGGAATGGCACTGCATAGGACGCAGCAATGGCCACACATCCCTGTGGGCATGGCCATCTTTACAGCTTCTGGCCACCCTCCCCTACCTCGTGCCATCTGCCTGCCCCCTCCGCCCTCCCCGTTCCCCGGCTGCTCCTGAGACAGGGACCCATGGGCTTAAACCAAGTAGGGTGAAGGCTTCTGGAAAAAACAAAAGTAAGATAATCCATTGTGAAATTTGCTTTGTCCTGCTGAGGGGAGCCCAGCTTATTTTTCTGACTTTACCCAAGTGCTGCTTTTCTTCCTCCAGTCCTAAACAAATGATTTGTTGCAACTTAGGCAATGTAGCAAGCAAGCCCAAAACAACTAGTAAAAACAGGAAGGATTCCATCTTAAAACCCAATTCGTTTAAAAAAGTTTCTTAACAAACAGACAGTAACTCAGCCCACCTTGGGAGCAAAGCAGGCAATCTTGAGTGACATGCTCCCAAACCAGGAAGCTGCTATCCTGGGAGGAAATCAGTGAATTCTTATAAATAACCAGGAAGACTAATATGAAACTTAGTGTTTCTTCAGAAGTATTTGAGACCACTTAGTAGGTGTACATCCCTAGCCCTTTTTCTTTCAACTGCCTATAAAACCCCTAGGCAACACACCACCCGGGACTCTCTTGTCCCCTCCTGGCCTGAGCCAGGAGCTGTGTCCTCTCACTTTATCTCTAAATAAAAGCCTGTACCTTGCTCTCCTACCTTGACTGTTCATGAAGTTCATTCTTCGGCTCTGTGAACAAGAACCCCAGCATCATTTTTGGGGGCTAGTCCGGGATAACTTCGGAGGTGAGTATCGGCATCCGAGCCCGCATTTTCTATCACTGTCCTTATAGAAGGAAGCCGTCTATGGCACACAACATTGGGCTCTCATCAGCCACTTACATGGGACTAGCCCAGCGTCCGATCTCAAAGTCTCGAGCGACAGGTTCCCCTGCGCCTCCCTCACTGGATCCCCCATCTCTCTTGGGAGCAGGGAATGTCACCTGAGTAGAGGCTGGGATTCCCTTTCAGAGGCATCTAGGCAGGGGACTTTCCTAACTCTCTTCTAACTTCACCAGTTGCACGGAACCTGATGCCCACCACTGCAAGGTTAGAGATTGCTCTTATTCCTGACTAAATGCTGTACTCTTTATCTCATGAAATGTGTCTCAGCACCCGTTAGCCACTTAAAAGATGATTAGCGTCCGCTACCAGTCTTAAGTCTCTGATTAGAAAGGCTTGGCCCCTGAGAGAAGTATACAATATAATAAGGTTATGCAGCTAAATGTATTTTGATGCAAAGAAGGGAAATAGTCAAAAATCCCATAGACTACAATATGGGACTAGTTTTCTAAATTTTTTTAGTGAAAATCTATTCTACTTATTGGGTTCATCATTATCTTCAAAAATTGGGAGGTTTTTAAACTAGACTCCCTGAAACTGAAGAAATTTATCTTCTGCAATACAGCTTGGCTTTAAATAACTGGTGCTAGAATCGTACTTGCATTTCATTTCCAGCCCCCTAGACACACACTGTCCCTATCAGTACAGAGCCTTCATCGGCCCTGTTCATCTGGGGCCGTCTAAACCTTAACCCAGTTATGTAAACTGCTCGCCCTTAGAGTGTATTCGTGAAAACTGAGATCCTTGTAATCAAATAAGCTAAAAAGAAAGAAGGCAATTAGATATTAATAACTTAAATCTTTTTATCAGTTTGTGTATATGTTCTCTTACGAAAAGTGTTGCTAACTGTAGTCATTATTTCTCAATCTGTATGTTTGGGTGTCTAAGTCTGTAAATGAAAAATACTTTTCTAACTCCGGATAGTATTAATAAAAATTGATTTAAAGACAAGGGCTTGTAGAAATTAGGCATTCTAAAACTTCCAGAAAATTTAATAGAAATATTAAGCATTGATTAATGCTAATTTAAATTAAACTGAACAGACATGTCCTTATGGTTATCAGCTGCCTAAGTTTACCTAAAGTCATTTAAGTTTTGATATTATCTGTTAAATCTTTCAAGGAAAAATGCTTAAAGTGAGGCTTGGCTTTGTCTAATGTAAGTAAAATAACATAGTTGTTAGGAATGAGTAAACTAAGTGTAGCAAGTGAACATCTTAATAGTGTGTTACAGTGTAGTACAGTATGTATACCTACAAATGGCCTGAGAATCTTTGTGGTAACCTAAAACCTTAATGTTTTGCTAAATAGACATGTTTTATGCTTAGAGATTATGCTGTAAAGCACATGGGTCCAGAAATTATAAAGTATGTTCATAAATTTGTTAATCTAAAGAATGCTAGTGTAATGGTTTACATAGCCCACTTCTCAGTGTTCACTGAAAATTAAGGTTCCTAATGGTTTTAAGTGCTAAGTAAAACTACCTAAAGTAATAAGGAAAACATTTCTGCATGCTAAAGAATATATCTTTTGATAAGAGAAGATAACTGTTCTAAAGTACAGCTGTTTATTTAAAGAGGGAGAACACTGAATGTAGAAAGTTGTAGAAAGTTTGTGGAAAAATTGATATAGTCATGCCATGTGAAATTAAAGCAAATAAATCTTGATATCAAGTACACAGAAAAACTAGAATTTTTTGTTTGTTGAAAGAACAATGGTTTATTAGTTTACCGTTAATGTTGAAAGATTGCAAAGCGTTTTCTAAATTGTTTTATCAAAACACTTTCTCATGCTTAAAGTCTCAATGAGTTGTCTTGAATATTTAAGAAAATGAGATCTTAATATTAAAAGGACTAAAACCTAAACTTTGCTAACAACTGTGTAACCTTCTGTATTTACCTTTGAGGTATTTTGTTGTCATTCTGGTTAAATGGATAAGTATTGCTTCATGGCAACCTGTAATCTTATTTAAGCAAGTGCCAAAGAAACTTTCTTCTGATAGCTTCCCAAAATCAAACTCAAAAAGGTGCTTTTTACCTCTAGTTCACTCTGATATTTTCCAGAGGGCACCTAAAACATGTCAGAGGAATTTTTTCTCCTCATCAGGGAAAACATTTGGCTAATTTGGCTTATTTATCTGATATATATTTACCTGGAAAACACTATCAAAGGGAATGATGCTAAACTTTGTTACTGAATGTTTTATGTTACAGAAATATCCAAATTGTCTTATATCAACTGTCTTATAGTAAGCTCTCATCAGATCTTTAACCATTGTCATTTGTAGGTCTTTTGTCATATAAAATCACTATTTTATTACTCCTAAACTAGTAAAGAACTGGATTTCAGCAGAGCAAGTATTAGTTACATAAGATTAAGTAAACTAAAAAAATGATTTTGTGGCTTTTTGTTTTAAATGTTGGTGATAAAGTGTTTTAAGCTTTTTCCCTTAAGTTGACTGACAACAGTTTAGTAAATGACAATATCTTTATAAGCAAAATTGAAACATTTATCTTTCTCTCTAACTAATCCCTCCAGAATTTAAAAACTGTCAGTGACTACTTTCATATTTCATGCAATATGTTTATTTGCATAAGTTCAATAAGAATCTACTTTCCTTGTAAGAGAACCAATTAAAAACACTGGTTATATTACCAAGGCTCTGACTGGAATGTCATACCTGAGAGACATGTGCATGAACTCAGATATGAACAGACAGTTTTAAGGAACTAAGGTTGACTTTATAGAGCCAACAAAGCCCCTTGGAAGAACTGGCCTGGTACCTTGCTTACAGGGTTCCCAGCAGCCTTACCAGGGGAGTAAGGAAGGTCACTTCTTGGCAGGTGCAGGAACCTCAGGAAAATCTTGGGAACCCCAGCAAGAGAGGAATTCACCCAAATCTACAGGTACTGCAGGCAAAACCTGATGTCAAGTCTGGCTTGGCTTTCTGACCTCAAGAGGCCTTTAAAAGTCCAATCTGAAATTCCTTATAAAAAGTTCCAGCAAAGCACATTTAAAAGATCCTATGTAATCAACTGCTCTTCTTGCTGCACTTACGCAAATAGTCAAGCCAAGTGTTAATTATTTTCTTAATCTAGTTACTTCTAATAAAAATGGTGGTGATTTTAGAGAAAAGTTTTGCTTCAATAATGCAGCCTTATCTATACTAAATCCTAATACTAGTCATTGGACATAGACTAGATCCAGAATTCTAGTTTCCCCAAAATATCTAGCTATGATCTCTAGATGTTTTAGTTTTCCCCCATCATTTCAATTAAAATTTTACTGTTTCTAGTCCTCATATTCAGCCATGCATTCTTAATCTTGTCAAGTTGCTCCAAAAAGGAAAATACAACTCCAGATGTTGCTACTTAACCTAATAACACAATTTGTTCTATCTTGCC